ATAACTTTTATCTATTTCCACAGATGTGAATTATGTTAATGCACGTTTTTAAAAATACTAAAAATTAAGGAAATCGAACTTTATTTGTATTTGAATAATTAATGTGATGCAATGTTTAGAATTTTTCTATAGTTCCAGATATGAAGATATTGAATTTGAATAGTACGAATGTTTAGAGAAAACTAAAATTAGTTGCAGGAAGTGAAATGGTTTAATTTTAGTGACGCAAATGATTTTTACGCCGCAAATTAAAAAATTTATTAATAACTTTTCTCCTTAATTAAATGCATTCGGGTAAATAATATTTTGGTGATAGTTTCAATAATATTTACATGGTACTTTATCATCCCTGGTCTATGACGCTTGCAGTAACCTTTCTAAAAAGTTAACGAATATCAAATTTTTTTTAATTAGAACGATCAGAACATAATTATTATGTTAATTAATTATTAATTAATTAATTAATATTTAATTAATTATGCTTATAACAACTATGCAACGACACGAGGATTAAATTGAAGCAGAGAGATTTCCCTTTAATATTGTTATCGACTCAAGTGTCTTGAGCTTGGAGTCACTGGAACAAATATTAGTCTATTCTTCGGTCAATTCACGGGATAATAATGGTTTAGATTTACTCATCAAGACAACTTTTCTCTATTTTGCTAGGAGTTAAAGTTAGGGCAACTCAAAATAAACTCGTAACATAATTCAATAATTTAATTAAACTACTGAAAATTGTTGAGGTGATAGCAGTCAAGTTGTACAACTGGTTTGAATTTAAATGTATTTAGAAATACTTACTGTTCAACATACATTCCTCGTAGGTTACAATTAGAACAATTCCCAAAAGTACAATTATGGAATTAACGAATACTCTTCACCATTGTAACTGCGAAAGACAATTTGCTTCTTCAGCGTCAACAGTAATTGCAAAATTTGAACATTTGGATAAGGCAGGAACTTATATTGATTAGCAGAGTCAAATCTGTTTTGCAGCATAGTGTAAATGGAGACATTGGAATTGTTCAGTTGCAGCATGTTTATCGTCAAATTATCAAAGCGCATTAAATTTGCATTCTTATGATCAGAACAAACATTCCGCAATACACACATTTCATTGTCCTTTGCGAAGGTTGTTCCCTCTTTATCTTTTGAAGCATCATTCATTCGCAATAATTGTGGTATTGGTCTACGACCGATAATCGTAAAAGCCGAGGTAACAAGATCGACATTCATACCCGGATAACGTTTATCTAAATCTATAGCGACATTCGCTAAACCTTTCTGTGACTCTGGATTCGATAGTTTAAGACCATCGTACGAACTATTAATGTGCATAATATAGACTTCAATAGACAAGATCCACTGGTCTTGTTCGACCGGATCCTGCAAAATAGACCAATGAAAATAAACATCTATTTTCTCCGCCTTTCGTATGCACTCATATTCAAAATGTGCATAAATCAGGTGCGAATAATTACCACTGCCATGATTCAATGTTGTCGTGTGTATTTTCTGCGTCTTCCGAATTCCGAGTTTTGCACTAGACGATTGAATTTCACCAATGTAAATATAGTCCGATAATTCTTTACCAAGTTTATGAAAATTCTGAAGTCGATACATCTTAGCAGGCAGGAATTTACATTGATTATCATACAAAACATCTAGAGAGAATCGACGTAGAAATAAAAATTTTTTATTACCAGAACCACAGCGCATTAGATAGCCATCCTGTGTACAAAAGGGATCGACAGCGAAAATTGTTTTAAGTTTCAAAAACTCATTTTTCTCTTTACTTTCTTGATCTCTCTCGCCGCGATCTCTCTCCTCTTGATCTCTCTCCTCTTGATCGAGGAGAAAAAAGCAAACATTCTCAACAGCAAACAATGCAAGATGTGCATAGTCCGCCAAATTAATACGACTCTTCATATAATTAATTCCATGTAGAATCTTATTAATTTTCGCATAGTGCAAATATTTTAGATGTATCTCTGTACACTGTGGTCCGTAGACAGAAATTAAGTCGATAAATTCTTGAAAGTAGGAATAAAGTTCAAAGACAGATAAACATATCCTTTGATTGTTGACCAATTGCACCGATTTGAACGCAACACCAGAAATTTCATTCAACATAATAAGTTTCTCACTCCGAACAATCTCGATATACGGATTCAGATTTTTAACATAGAAAAAGAAATCGAAGAATGCAGAAATATTAGCAATGAGAATTTTATACCGTGTAGCTAGTCCTCCATTGACAACCACGTAATTTTCATCATCCCGACGTAAAACGAAACACTTCTGACAATCACTAGATTCGATATCAGAACATTTGCACCACAATTCCATGGACCATTCTCGATCACCCCCCGATTCTCTTTCTAGCAAATCTAAAATTTTATTCAAATTTGGACGATGATGTAAATGTGGAACAACAACATCGGGTAATAATGAATACTGCTTATTAAATGCATCGATACTTGTTCCTTTTTCTAGTAAACAAAGAAATCCACAATAATTTTCCGGTATTATGTTAATACTATTATTTTTACATGAATTAATACGTGTTACGACTGAGAAAAATTCACGACGTCCCATTTGATGGGCTAATGGTTTTCGATAAATGTTCGACATCTCTCGGGTTGAAATTAATATTTTCTTATCGGCGTTTTTCTTTTTTTTCTCCTTCTCCTGTGATTCGGCTAAATTTCCGTTTTGATTGATTTTGAAGTCGGACAAATTCTTTGGATTATCGCGTCTTAAATTTGTATTTTCTGCCGTCATGGATATTAGTTTATTCCAAAGACCATTGTAAATGATGTTCACGAGATTGGAATTATTTTTGCAACGATAAAGATAGCGACGTAATAATATTGCTGGTGAGAGTATTAATTTATTCGCAAGATCATCAATTGGTCGAATAGTTTCGGTTAGATAGTAGAAAATATGTTTGATTAGAGATAAATTCCAACTGATGTGGCGCGATTCGATGATGTAGTCGATATGCTGAATGGAGTTAAAATGATCGTTACCCTTATCGTCACGATGGGTAAATATGAGAGTATAATCGGGTAATTTTTCGTATTTGAATAGATGACCCTTACCGTGAATATCATAGACGTAACGAATTAGACATTTGTCCTTGTTGTCACTGACTGGTTTGTTACTTTTTTTCTTAGTAGGTTTTGATGTGGTGTAGAAATTCTTACTGGACATACTTGCTTTTTTAATTTGACTGCGTTTGAAAATTGTCTTATTCGAAATGATGTGGAACATTTCACGATTATTCGTTAATAGAAATGGTAACCAACAGAAACGACCTCCAATAACGAAGTAACCGTATGCGTCGGGATAATTTGATTCGGTCATGGCAGCTAATAGTTTTCGGCATGTTAGATCAGTGTCATCGAACTGACGGGTGGGTGAGTTTTTATAATCCACTTTACAGTGGCATTTCTCTAAAATTTTCGAACGTTTATTTTCAACTTCGGATACTTGCCAGCAACACGATTCCTCACGTGCTAAGTGTATTAGCTGTAAATCTAAATCCGAACCCAACATTATAGGAAAGGCATTACAGATGTGTTTTTTGGTATCTAGGTAACAAACACAAGAACAATATGCTCCCTTTCGGAAGTAGCATTTTTTTAAATAGGGATGAAGGAAAAATTTTAAGTCACTATCATGCTTTTCTTCATCACCATTATTATCATCATTGTTATCATCATCATCATAATTCAGATGTTGGTAATAAATAGTAGCGTTCAAATCATTTTTTAAACACACGGTGAATGAAATTTGATCCTTCTGTTCGGCATATTCAATCAAATCATTGTACTGTTGCATATAGACGTAAAAAAAATGTTCGTTGTATAGTTGACATCGTTGACTTGTTAGATTTTCCATGACCTATCAAGGGGATTTCTTTATAAACTTTAATCGAAATATTAGTAGAAGAATTTTGACTGTAGTACGTGGTACACGAATTTTATGAAAACACTGAAATAATAAAGGTAATGTTATTTAAATCTGAAAATTTAATATGAGAATATGTGAGATGTACGGTGGCAGCGGTGGGATTATTTAAAGCAACCGAATTTTCCCTCTTTTTCCTCTTTAAGTATACTATTTTTATGGAAGGATTTTTATTTATCACTGAATTTAGAAACTGACTTCTAGAGAAGTAAAACTGACTAGTACCGATTGACGTAGTCAGTATTTTTAAAATTGTGATAGTACCCGCATAAGACAGCATTAAAATGTATTTACAGACATTAATCGAGCATTTCTTATAAGTTTGCAAAAAATGTCTAAACTATTGTCTGCAGCACGTATTATGCAAGTTCTACAAAAAACTGAAATAATGATGGAGGTGGTACAATTAGTGCCCACGTTTCAAGTAGCAAATAGAAAATTTCAGTTAAGTTGATAGCAGTTGTTGATAGATGTTTGTACAAGATAAAATAGTTTAGTACGAAAATATGGATTCTAACTTATACTACCTGGACAATCTTGATACAAATCAATTTAATTCGTTTCTTCGTCAGTACCGAGTGAAAATTTATCTCTCCTGTCCTAAATTACAGTCCTTAGCCACACCACTTGAATACAACAATATAGTCGAGAGGATCTTACGTCCTACCAAATGCATCGATAGTCATATTCAATACACAGAGGACGATGAGAAATATTCGACCGTCACTGTACGTCTTCTTCAAATTTTCATAAAAAATGATGAGAAGAGTCGTGATCGTTTCCCATCAGTTGTCATGGAATGACGTGGTAACCTCGAGGGGTAAAGGTCTTCCTTTACTTAATTTGCATATCTACTCGTTTCATATAAGGAATATATTGGAATAAAAAAATACGATTGATTCACTTTCGACAAATTTAATTTATTTGTAACTTACAATTTGTAACTTAAAGACTTAAAATCTTTAAATGACCTTAAGCTAAGGGTAGTGTTATTAGTATTTTAATACTAATAATAAATCTATATATTCTGGTAAATTGTTCTTTAAATAAATACTTAAATTATAAATAAAAACTTAAACTTAATTTCTCGTCTCTGTAAGGCGGATAAATTATTATTTCGTACCACCATTTGAAGAAGATGATTTAGAATCATCATCTCTGAATTGCTTCTCTGTACATCCTACAGTATCCATAGCCCAAACTTTTAAATCCTCTAAATTAATTGTACTCACATTAGAATTAACAATTCTCTGTACAATCAAATGTGCTCTGTATAAAAAAGGGAAAAAACATTTAATATTTAAACAAACACAGTATTAATCAAGAAAAAAGCATGCTAAACGCAAACGATAATCTTTAAAAATACAAAATTGTATCTTACGTGTTTTTTCGAGACGGTTTCTCTAATGGTGTCAGTTTGTTTTGCTTCTGGTTATTGTAGATCTATTTTTTAAAGTACTGAGAATTATAATTCCAAAACCTTTATATCTTAAATTATAATTAAAAATACATTACCTCAGTTGCTCGTTTCAAAATATCAGAATTCAAACCAGCGTGTTTGGCGACAGCGTTAGCAAAACTTAGCTTTGAAACTCCCTCTATTAATTTAAAGAGAAATACAATTTCTCTCTCATCGGTTGGTGGCAAAAAGTCGAATGTCTGAAAAATTTAAAAACAATATAATAGAAACAAACAAATAATAGAAAGTAAATTTCAAGTAAAGACAGTTTCAGAATTATCGAAATAAAACCTGTGGTTGTATTAACGGCCCTTTGGGTATCAAATCAAAAACTCTATGCAAATGTGTCGCGATAAAAAGTTGAGGACATTCAGTTCCGAGGTCGAGAAAATATTTGCAGACAGAAGCCAAAAGTGCGGCTCCATCAATTTCGGAAGTTCCCCTTCCGAACTCATCAATAATTACCAGTGAATTCCCAGTCGCCGAGTGCACAGCAATATTTATCTGCAAAAATAATTTTTAAGTAAAAGAGTAACGAAGAACAAAGAATGTAAACAGTATCTACCATAAATTTTAGTTTTAGTTTAGTTTTATTTTAGTTTTATTTTAGTTTTAGTTTAACTTTAGTTTTACTTTACTTTCAGCTTATTTTTATAGCTTAATTTTAGCTTCAAACCTGACGAATGTCCTGAAGAAAAGTACTCGCATTCAATAGCGAAATACTATTTGCGGAAATAATTTGAGCCGTAATTCGTGATACGATTCCAATGGTCGCAGAATCAGCGGGCACGTAACTTCCAATGTGAGCCATAAATACAATAAGAGCAATTTGCTTAAGATAAACACTTTTGCCGCAAGAATTGGGACCAGTGAGAATTTTCACTAGACTGTATCCATCACCTGAATAGACATCATTTGGAACGAAATTCGTCACAAAAGATTCTTTCAGCGGATGTCGGCCTTGTTTTATTTCAATAACACGAGACTCGATTATTTCAGGTCGCACGTAATTTGAATCGCGGGCAACCATAAAAAAGGACAGCATCCTGAATAGTTGAAAATATGAACATTATGGACGTTCTTTCAAAAAAAAAAAACTGACTTTTACAGACAAAAAACTTACACGTCAAGTTCACTGCAAAGACGAATAGCGGTTATAATTTCCTGATAATGACGTACAATAAATTTAACCAATTTCATCATAATCGTGTTTTGTCGTTTCGCTAATTTAACTTTTACGTCGCCGAGCTTTTCATCTAAGTCTAAAATTAATGCAAAGAATAAATAATAATAATAAACAGGATTGCTAAAAAATTTAATATATGGCTTTAGGGATGAATTTTTCTTTTGTGGCAACCCTGTAATAATAAATTTAATAGTCTAAAAAAACCTCTTCTTGAATTTGCCGATAAAAGTTTACCTTTCGCAGCAGGACTTTTGTAGTGATGGACATTTTCAATCGTAAACTTGTATTCAAGACCGGGAATTTTTGGATCATCTGGAGGACCATTTTTCCACTGAGTAATCGCAAGAAGATACTGAATATTAGGAATGTAAACCATTAACCAGGATTCAACGGATTCTGGAAGATTTGGTATATCCTTTGCTCCCCATTCATTCAGAGTTCGTGGCAAATTGTCACAAATATGAGCCACTATTTAAAAAAATGAAAGCTTATTACCCAGTAAAAAAAAATATTAAAAAGTATTTTAAAAAATAACACTTTTTTTAAAAAGTTTTTTTTAAAAGTTCAGTCACATTTTTAGTGGAAACTAACATTCGTCATAAAGGGTGTCAACGCCTGTATTTAGAGCAAACTGATTTTTCACTTGACTCATTTGAAAATCGACAAGAAGATCAATAAAGTACTTGACCAAGTACGTTGTCTGCGTTACACTTTCCACTAATTCGTCGAATAATTCAACTTCATTGCGATATTGTCCACAAATTTCGACTATTTGAATGACATTGGAAATCGTCTGAAATAAGATTTTTAATGTGTTTTAGAAAGTGAAATTTATTAAATTCAAAATTATGATTAAACCATAGTTGCTATGACGTAATGTAACGGCCCCCCATGGGGAGCATTAGAAAAGGACGGAAAATCCTTATCATAAATAATTACTTGATCAAGTTTCCTCCAATCCACATATTTTGCTTGTGAGATCGAAATTTTATTCATAATTAACGGCGAAAGTCGATAAATGTATCTTAGACAACTTTTTAAACTATCCACGACCGATTGATTTGCGGGATTGAGGAAAAATTCAATTACTTGATGCCTTTTCTTTAAAACTTGAATGTCAGTTGTGGGATGATGCATAATCTTCCTAATAAATGAAAATTTGTTAATATACAATGTTTTAATTTTAAAATATTCACTTGGGGTCTGTAAAAACACCAATAACTTCATTTGCAAACAAATATTTAACTATTTTTAATTCATTTCAATTCAATTATTATTTTCTAATCAATTTTCTAATCAATATTAAAAAAAAACTTGAAATAATTTTAGAAAATTTCGATAAAGCTTTTTGAAAAAAATAGTTTCAAAGAATTTTTAAGAAAAAATTATAAATAATTCAAATTTTCAAAGACTTTAATTTGAAACCTTTGCAGAATTCAATTATTTCTCAAAAAAAAAAAAATTGCAATTAGTTGTAACTTCTCCAAAATTCAAATTTTTTTAAGTGTTTTAACTAGAATTCTTTATAAATCCATTATTTTAAATAAAAAAAATTAGGTTTACAGAATTTTTAAATTAAAAAGTATGAAAAATTCAGAATTTCAAATATTTTAATTTGAAACCTTTTCAAAATTCAATTATTTCTAAAAATTTACTGCAGAATGCTTTTAATATTCAATTATCTAAAATTTTGACTAAAATTCATTTTTAAATCAATTTTTACTAAAAAAAATTCAAGGAGAATTCAATTATTTAAATAGAAAAATAAATAATTGAATTCTCTTGACGAATTTTAATAAAATTTAGAAGAAAAATTGAATTCTTGTGATGAATATTGTTATTTATGAAAATAATTGAATTTTGCAATGAATTTTATTAAAATTCCTGAAAATAATTGAATTTTGTCGAAAAATTTTGCTATTCATTTATAATATTTCAATTATAATTGAAATCTTGAAAACAATTTTGTTTAGATTTTTGGAAAATAATTGAATTTCTGCGAAGAATTTTATTAAAATTTTTAAAAATAATTGAATTTTGGCAATAAATTTTATTAAAATTTTTGAAAATATTTGAATTTTATATTCGAATATTATAAAAATTCCTGAATATAATGTTTACTAACGAAATTCTTTCAAACTCTTATCAGCAGCGTTTATTTTCTTTTTCTTTCTCTTATCTCTTTCTTTTTTCTTTTTTTATTGTATTATTACCTTGTATACACTAATTAATATGTAACTCAATTCTGATACCCATTTATGGTCCATATGGATCGCGGGGAATGTATAAATAAATAAATAATCGAATTTCAGTGAAGAATTGAAATTTGTTATTTAAAAAATTTTTCAAAAAAAATACTTCATTTCAGTGATTTATAAGTAATAATAATAAACTTTATAGCAGTTCTTCAATATAGAATTAAGTTATTTTAAAATATATTATTGTCAGAAATAAAAAATAAATATAAATTTTTTTTTAGAATTTGTGGTAAATTCATAGTTTATGAGGCAAACAAAAAGACCCGAAAATTCAGAAGTTACTTATAAAATTCTAAAAAATTTAATTTTTTCAGTATCTTTTAATAACAATCCCTGACTTTTTCCTGATTTGTAGCAATCCTGATATAAATTTATGAATAAGGAATCTTACCATAGAGCTTGGGCACCGAGACGGGACTGACAATTATTAAAAAGAGAATAAAGACTAATTGTATGTTTTTTAATTCCATCGTTTCCGAATTTAAAAAAACTTGGATGATCTCTAGTGGTAATTATATTTAAAGATCTGTAACAGTCCTCGTCCATCATCATCAAATCACCCCTGATGTAAAAAAAATGTTTTCTTGTTAATTAATTTAATATTTACAATATTATCCTCTTTCGGTCAATTTCACTTATTTAATTATTTAATAAAGAATAAATATTATTACAATAATTATTTATTATAAATATAATGTATATTTATTATAAAATTTATATATATTTATAAATATATTTCTAAATATATTATAAATATAAATATATTTATTATATAATAATATAATAAATATATATTATTAATTATAATATAAGAACTAATTATTTAATAAAGAAGAACAAATATAAAAAACTCTTACAACGAGACATTGGTGATGTTAACAAATAAAGCTTGCTCCGACTCGCACGTTGAAATTCTATGCCATTCTCTATCGAGATATTTCAAAAGTAAACCCAAAGCGTAGATATAGCCACGTGAATTGAAATTAATAAATGAACTGAGATAAGCATTTCTCTTTTCGAAATTAGCATTCAATGGTTCGCCTTCGAGTTTTAAATTTTGTACTCTAGCAAAGCAGTAATCAAATGTATTGTCAGCTTTTGATAATATTTTCAAAGAGCAACAATTTTCATCTGTTTGTCCTTCTGTTGCTTCTAAATTTTCTCGAATTGTTAGATTTTTTAAAATCCCTACAAAATTTTCCGCTAATCCACTGACGGTAATTAAACAATTTGGATTCACTTGTTTATAGAGAGCTTTGACTTTTTCAAAAATACTATTGTCAATAACGTCATTCATGATAAATAACTCGGAATTTGACACATTATAATAAGCTGCTCCAAGAAGTTCATTTTGCCAAATCATTGACAGAATTACCTGAAAATTAAAAAAAAACATGTTTTCTCATTATTTAGGAAATTATTTTAGTAATTATGAAAAAAAATGAAAAAAAAATAAATAAAATGAATAAAATTTTAGAATAAAAGTTTCAAAATATAAAAATTGGAATTTTTTAGTAAGTTTCGAAATTTAAAATATTTTTAATAAAAAATTTCGATAACTGACATTTTCGGAAGGTTCGGTTGAACTTTCAGAATTCGATGGATTAACATTATTTCTCGATGACGGATAATGAGAATCCGATGGCAAATCTGAATTTGTTTTTTCTTGCACATCTTCCTCATCGCTACTGTCTTCGTATAAAAGGGCTTCGAATTCTGTTCGCCTTTAAAAAGAATTAGTTAATTTAATTGATGTTCAATTTTATAATTAAACTTTTTCGGAATACCCTATAACTCAGGGCTCGAAGCAGTGAAAATATTTAAAAATACCGACTTTACGGACCTAAAATTATTATTTTTAAGAATTTAAAACCAAAATTCTTCGATTATTTTTTTTAAATTTGATGAAAATAGTAGATATTGAACAATATTTAATTTTTGCGAAGAATATTATTACTTTTGAAAATAATTGAAATTTTGCAATGGATTTTATTAAAATTTTTGAAAATAATTGAATTTTGTCGAAGAATTTTGCTATTTATTTATAAAGATAATTGAGATGTTGAGCATTTTTTTAGATTTTTTGAAAATAATTGAATTTCAAAGAAGAATTTTAATATTTCTAAAGATACTAATTGAAATTTTGACGAGAATTGTTAAAAATTTTCAGAAATAATTAAATTTCTGCGAAGAATTTTATTACTTTTGAAATTAATTGAAATTTGGCAATGGATTTTAAATTGTCAACTATTAAATAAATAAATAAACTCTAAATAATTAAATAAATTGCTTTAAATGATTAATTTTAACCTTCAATTTATAATCTGTGACCTGTGGTCCCTGTGGAAAAAATTCAATTAACAATATTATTTGACCAGTGTCATTTTAGGTATGTAATAAATAGTAAATAAATTATTTTAATTTTAATACACTTCACTATGTAATAATTCATTTCTTTATTATTTTTAAGTCTTTTTTTTATATATTAATTAATTAACAAAAACAACTGAAAACGTACACCAAATAATCTCGCTCTTCATCTGTTATTGGCTTCATTCTTACAATAAATGAGAAATTTATAAAATTCGTCGAATATTTGTCATTATTTAACTTCAAATTGTTTATTTTTTATAAAAATAATTAGGAATATTTCGATTTTGTAAGTTTTTGCAGCAGAACAATTCCTACTGATTCCTACACAAAGGAATGTGAGTTACTCGTCAGGGCTGGGTTGGTAAATTATTCAGTTTTCATACATAATGGTCGGTTTACAATACAAATGAACCTTTGAAGTGCGACAATTTCTAGAGTTCGTAAAGTAGACGTAACTTTTTTTTTCTCAAAGTGGATTCTTGTTTCTCAACCCTTTTCTTCTCGAAAAACCGTTCGTCTTCGTGGTAGTTCGATAAAAGTAACTCTTAAATTAATTTCTAAATTGGAGAATGGTAATTTATTTTTCGTTTTTTACACTTTTTTTACCTTTTTTTTTACTAAAATTCAGTTGCTGTGTATATTCAAATAATCGATGTATCCTTTTTCAACATTTATGCATTTTCTTTGTTAATAACCTAACAATTATTGGTAGGTGTTGAATTTAGGAAAAATTATTCTGTGCGGGAAAAATAAAGACAATCGTGATTTCTAGGTTTCTAGATTGTTTTATTTTTCCGTAAAATAAATTTTCCTAAATTTGCACCTACCGATATTTAATTTATTTCTTAAATATTAATTTTTTGTTTGTCGCAACGGCAAAATGTAAAAATGAGGAGGAGCAAGAACTTTTTTCCTCCTCGTGGCGAAAGCTTTGTAGTCCTTCAAATTATAAAATTTTTAAAAATGGTTTCAATATAAATCTACCTCAGAAACAAGTGCAATATGAAGTTAACTCACAAATTAATGCAAGACAATTCTAATTCATTCTTCAATTCAAGATAATGCTATCTCAAAATCCAATGCAATAAAAGTACAACTAAAATTAATATTCAAATATGTTTCTCTCTCAAAATATTTTTAATACTAGATTCCATTATATTTCGACTAAAGTCGTTGCCGACTAATTTTTAAAAATTATAATATTTTGCAGGAATGATTTTAAAGGTATCACTGAACAAAAACATTTTTTTAAATATTTTTCATATTTATTGTAAAATAATAAGCATCTAAAGTATATGAGGTCGTAAAAACTGTCACTTTTTCATCTATTAGAAAATATTAAAGAAAACACATAATTTACTATGAAAACGTAAAAAAAATTATTAGAATTTATTAAGAATGACTTAGTTTATTATTATAAATTGATAGAAACAATTATTAATAAGAAATATTAAATGAAAAATGATTTTAAAGTTCATTTGGCAAATAACCTAATTTTGCAAATTTCATTCACTAAATGTGAGAAACAGAAATCATTAAATTGAATAAAACCTTATGAAATATAAAGTACCTGTGATTAACTTTTAGTTTTTCTTATCACTTTCTTCCTTTTTTCTTCATAAATGTGAAAGAACAAGCAATTAAAATTGGCACTTTGCTTATGTTTTCACGATTTTTAAATGATAACTTTCTCCCAGAGAAATGAAAAATTACGAAAATTGGACAATAATTAATTGTTCACTAAATACACAAACTGGAAAACCAATTTTCAAAAAATAAATAAGTATTTTTTTTTCATCTTAAAACCTAGAATTTAAAATTTTTTCCTATTTAAAAAAAAATAAATAAAATTTCTTATTTTTTCCAAATATTTATTTATAAAATTATAATAAAAACATTTTTTTCACGTTCTATGAAAAATTAAAAAAAATACTAGCGTATTCTGAAGTTGCTGATGCTCAAAGCTAAACTGCGATCGTCTTTTATTTTTCCGTAAAATAATTTTTCGTAAATTGATAACCTACCGTCACATTTATAAGTTGTGTCCTATTTGTGTTTTTCTTCTCAACGTCAACATTTTAAAAGTTGAATTTTTGTGATGTATTATTTTTAATTAAATAAAATTTCTGCTTAACGTCAGGCAAAATCTGCTGATGTCGGATTCGACAATTTAAAAGAAGAATTTAAATAGGTAAATTTCGTCGTCAGACGCCAATTAATTTTCTAGAACAAATCTAATATACAAACAAAAAGCTCTGCGACTCTCTCAGATTAGTTGTTTTCATATTAATAAATAAATTATTATTATTATTATTATTATTATTATTATTATTATTATTATTATTAATAAATTAATTCATATAATTAATTATTAATTCATATTAATTAAATATTAATATTCTTATTTATAAAAAAAAACATTTGACAAAATTTCAGTTATAGAAAACAATTTTTTTTCAAATAAAATTATTTTTTTATAATTAATATTTATTTTTTCAATAACATACAAAATTGTTTTGAATTCTTTTTAAAAATTTACCTTTTTAAAAAAGAAAATTTTATATTTTAATATTTTTTTGTTTTATCTGCAGTTATTTATTAAACATGAATTTTTTTTTATATATAGGGGAATGTAGTCAAGGTTGGTCTACTGTCTAGGTAGGCCACTCGCATTTTTTTGTCAAGTTCACTAGCGCCACCTACGCGCATATTTGTCGAAGCTTGTCTTAGTGAAACCTAACTTTTTGTTCAATTACATTTTCGGAAAATCAAAAATTGTGTTTTCTGTGACGTCGGTACAAAAAAAGCTCAAAAAAAGTTTTGTGCATAATGTGAAAAACCATTAATAAGAGATAAAAAACAAATTGAATCGTCAAGGCAAGTATGCAGAAAATTTGTGGGACTCATGGTTGAAAGGAAAACAAAGTAAAAAATCGAATCCCGAAACGTATTTCTTTATGGTTACAACAATTCGGTAATGTTACTTACTGTCAAGGTCGGCCACTATGTGTTTAAAATGCGCAAAGATGAGGACGAGCTACTTCATTTGCAAAAACTGCAATTCTGTATAACTCATAATATAATTGATCATCTTATTAATATTTTTATTTAATTTTATTAATATTTTAGTGCAAAATTTTTTTTTTATTTATATTTATTTTTTTATATTGTTTATTTTTATTATTTTGTTATTTCATTAAGTTACAAACTGTAAACAATAAAGAATCAATTTTCCGTTACTCCAAACATGTTATTTTATTTTTTAAAGATTAATGCCCTTTGAATTTTAAACATGGCCGACCTTGACTGTAATGGCCAACCTGGACTACAAATTTTTTTTTTTTTAAATTTTTATAACTTTTTCATTTTTAAACCTGTCAATTTACTTTGTACAGAAAAAATGTTCCTATTAAACAGGACTTTCCAACCATATACTTCAATTGTCCAAATTCATTTTTAAAAAAAAGTTATAAACAAAAGTCAAAAAGGTGGCCGACCTAGACTATGTTCCCCTACATTTACGCTTTTGTTTTTTGTCTGCTTTTGACAGTTCGTATAAATTGGTATAAAAAATGTCGGTAAAAATAAAAATTTTTATAAGTTTTTTTGTTATAAAGGAAATAATTTAAATTTTTATAAGTTTTTTTTTATAAAGGACGGGAAAAAATATATTTTATCGAATTAATACATTTAATATATTAAATAAATTAAAATAAATTAATTACGGTTAAATTAACTCGAAAAATTGAAACAAAAATAAAAAAAATTTTTTTTTTTGTTATGGTGATTTCAATGTTAGTAATACGCAGGCGTCTCTTTTTGAAATGGTTGTAGTGTCCACTCTTGTCGTCAAAACACATTCCTTTCCCAGTAGACAACACGTGTTCTTAGTGGATAGAGCAGGTCAAGTTCGTCTCTTATTTTTGTGAGGTGTGTGTATTAGAAACTGTTTTTTTTTATTATATTAATATATAATAAAACATCTATTATCTTGACTAATTATAGTTTCGCGCCTAATTATCTCTATCAATAATAAAAGGTGAATGTCCAAATTTTAATGGTTGGTGCTACAAATTAATTCTTAGAATTAATTTCTGTTAGAATTTAAATTATGTTTTTTTTTCTGTTATTTCTGTTTTGATGTTGTCATTTCTAGACCGAGATAAATAATTTTTTCATCTAACCATTTGATTCTTTAAAAAATTTTTTTTTCTCGAAAAATTGTAATTTAAGACAATTTTTTTGGGAAAAAAAAATACCTTAACAAAATCTTTTTTTTTCTGTGGCTTCTTGTAAAATAAAACGGCTCCGGGTTCCTTTTCGAACCCCTCGAAATGAAAGCTACAAAATTAAATGTTTTCATGTTTACTTTTACGTAAATGTAAGTAAAATTATAATTTATTCTTGTAAAGTACAAATAATTAGTTTAGTGAACTTTTTAATAACAAATGATAATTATGTTAGTAAGTTTAATTTTCCTTTTTGAAATTAATTTTGAGAATATAAAATTAATTTAATGATTTATTAGTGTAGATTTTTTTTATTGAAGTAGAAACTTTGTTCATAAGAACATTTTGAAATTATTAAGGAATGTGTAATTTCAGCGCTTCTTATCACTACCAGGAATAAAATATATTTTTAAGTGTGTGTGTGTGTATGAAATAGGATTTCTCCCCTGAAGGTCATTTCTTATTTTGCTTGCTATTACTAAAATATTAACTATATTTACTTACCTTTAATTAGAAAATTTTTATCTTCATATTAAAATAAGGTGATGTTGGATGACTTGGGATATTTAAATCTAGTGCATAGCGGTTCTTTGAGGGACCCTATTCAAAAAAGTACTTTTCCTGTGGCTTGATATTTAATATTTTTTAACGAAAATTTTATAAGTTATTCATTTAATAGTGTACTTTAAGATATAAAATAACAAAAATAAAAAAAAAACAAAATAACAAAAATTTATTTGTAAAAAAAAATTTATTGTTTTTGAAGAGTCTCGTCTCGAAAAACGAAAAATCTCGCGAGGAAAACAATGAAAACAATTGAATGTTATATTTTCATCTCTTTTCTTTTCTGAAGGGACTTATTTTTAAATTTTATTGAAATTTTATTGCGAAAATTGTGTTATTATAATTTTAATTTGCAGTAAGTTAATTAATAAATTTCGAAAGATTTTTCAAAAATACCAATAAATTTAATGCAACAAACAGAAAATTAAGAAGAATTTTTATTTATTAACTTTAAACATTAATAACAATTTATTTTTTTTTTATTAGAAAAATTTATCAAAAATTAATTTTTAGAAAGTTTATATCACTTTTCCTAAAATTAATAATAATAAAATAATAATAATATGAAAACAACTTAATTTATAAAAAATACTTTTAAAGATTTTAATATAAAAATACATTTTATTATTACGAATGATCGAGTAAAATAATTAATATTTATAATTTATTATGTTTAAAAAAATGATGTTTATAGTACCTAGTAAAGTATAATTGAATTTTTAAAAAAATGCATTATTTTATTTGTTAATTCACACTATAAATTTCGAGAATTAAAAAAAATATTATAAAAACTTAATTTTTTCAAAATTCTACTTCTATTTTTTTAATACAATTGAATTTTTGAAAATTATTGAAAAATTTGTAAATAAATGAAATTTCGCAAAATCTTTATAAATAAGATTAGACTTTTGTCTGTACATTGCATAGAATTTGAATTTGAAATTAAAGTAAAAAAATCGACAGTTGAATTACATATATTTCATTTAATCCATTTTTTAAATATACATCAGTATATATACGTAAATATATATTAATTCATAATAATATTTTAATAAAACATAGAATTCAGAATTTTTTAAGATTTTTCTGGCATAAATATCGTTATTTTCCTTTGAAAGACTCGGGAGGTCAAAAAAAAGTTCGGATAAAATGATTTTCAGTTCGGATAATAGAGGGTTCGGATAACAGAGGTTCGGATAATCGAGGTTCCACTGTATTATCAATAGAAGTGTAAATATAAATTTTTTTTTAATTTGATAAAATATTTTTTGAATTATGGAGTTTCAAAATTTTGATTTTTTTTGAAAATATCTTTTTTTCGATTTAATATATATTGATAAGTAAAATTAATCAAATTAAAAGTATGAATAGTGATTTTTAAGGGATTTTTCACGAGCTATAAGCTGGCAATGAAAAAAAAGTTGTTTTTTTCAATTTGACCTTAAAATTCAAGGTCAAATTCTTAATTTCAGTATATCTCAAAATCGGTTGTTTAAAATTTTTTTTTAACCTATCCCAATGGAAAGTTTACCTTTTTTCCTATGAGCCATGTAAAAATCAGAGTTGGACCTTGAAAATTTTTTAAGAAAATAATAAGTTATCATTATTTTATATAGAAAATGATGATTTATATTTATTTTCTTCAAAAATTTTCATGGTCCCACTCCGATTTTTACATGGCTCATAGGAAAAAAGGTAAGCTTTCGATTGGGATAGGTTAGAAAGAAATAAAAAAAAACAATTTTGAGATATATTCAAATTAAGAATTTGACCTTGAATTTCAAGGTCAAATTAGAATTGTTCCAATTTTGTTTTAAATTGAAATCTGATTAAAAATTTTTTAATAAATATTTGAATGGCAGTTAGGTAACTTTTTGGGAACATGTATAATAGAATGTTGTTGATAGAAAATATGAAATAGTCGTAAGAGAATGATTTTGACATAAGAGAGAAGTTACGAGTTTTTTCTAAATTAGAAAAAGTCATAAAAAGAGAGTAATAAAAAACCTGTTATATGCTTACAATATTTATGTGAATTTTTTTAATTTAATTGCAAACATTTTAATAGTATCAAGATTTTTGAACGTCTTTTTTTAGTATTTAAAAAAAAAATATTAGAACTTTTAAGAATATTCTATACTTATTGGCATAGATTATTTTACAAATGAATATAGGAACAAAGAATACATTCTTATAAAAGGTTTATATATGCTTGATGTAAGAATATATTCTAAAAATCAAAAATTCTTTATATTATAACCTTTTTATTTTAGTAATATTATTATATAATTTATAAATATCGTAAAGTTGCGAAATTTTAGTTTTTTGAAATTTTTATAAAAGAAGCTTAAAGGGTCTTTTATAAGATTCTTTAAGGTTCTTTTATAAAAATTAAAGCTTAAAGAATCTTTTATAAGTTTCTTTAAGGTTCTTTTTATAAAGATTCATTAAGGTCCTTAGTTATTAAAAATAATATAAAATTTTAATCGTTGAATTTATTTATATATTTAGAAAAGAAGAAGAATTTTTTAAATTGTTAAAATTTGCAGCAGAATTATTTTTATAATTTTTATGATTTATGTTGTAATGAACGATAGCATAAAGTTTAAAAGTTCTAAAAAAAATGCCCCAAAGTAAAAATATTCTTTTGTTAATCAGCGGAAAAAAGCATCTCCTCGAAAAATAAAATAGAAAAGATGTCAACTATATCTAAATGTCTGAATGAAAATTAGTCTTGGAGAATTTCTCCTACAAATATTATATTTACTCCCAGTGAAGCTTATCTGTGTTATGATCATCTCACTTCGAGATACGTTTCAAAGAAATAATCCCTAACGTCCCTTGTCATTTTTTTTTTTTTTTAAATCAAAATAGTTGGCATTTCTTTATACGTCTCATCTTTGTTTCACCTTCTATTCCTTATCTATAATTTCACATTTGATTAGAATAAATAATCTTCGTCCTTTTATATCTCTCATTTCGAGTACTTATCGTTTTTAGTAAAAAAAAAAAGATTCTTCGAAGTTATGCACTATCTCAATCGTTAAAAATATTTGTTTTTAAATAAATCAATAAATTTATATTTATGTTTTTAAATAAAAAATAAATTTATATTTATTCAGAGTTAAAGTGCAAAGGGGTTCTTTTTATTTTTCTATTATGTCACATCCGGTTATGTTTATTTAAAGATGCAATTTTCGTTTATGATATCTGATATCATAAACATGATATCTATCAAAAGAAATGAAGTTCCTGCAAGAAGACCTGAAAAAAATTTAAATATTTACAAATATCGGTCAATTCTGAAACCTTCTCTATCCAACTTGAATGTTTTTGAGCTTTTGAGTTTTAATTTCTTTTCAGAGAATTCATCTGTTATACTTATATTCTGTTTATTTATCATTCGTTTCAACTCTTAATATTATTTTAAAGGAATATTAGATTGCTTTTATCTTGGCAAACTTGTTTCATTAAATATTCAGAAATAGACAAAAGATTAGAATTTCCCTTTCCTTCAACTGTATACAGGTAAAATAGTTTTAAAATTGTTACAAAAGCAATAAAAAGTTAGGAGACTTTTCTATTTGTAACGGTTGTCTCCTAAATAGTCTGGTTACGATATTTGTACCTACAAAAGGTTCAGGTACAACTAATCATTGCCATTGTAATCATTATTGTTATAGGCAAAATATTTTTATTGTCTGAAAAGTAACCCATTAGTTTATTTTCTAAGAGGAATATTGTTTTCTCAGAGAAATATTATTGAGTCTGGTAAATATTTTTGAAGATAATCCCGTATTTGTCAAAAGTAATATAAAAACTTATAATAAGACCTAGTCAAGAGATTTATAGAAAACAATTGACGAAACTGTTGGGTTCAACTGGTATTTTTATTTAGTCTCTCGGGTTTTCCCTGTAACTTTTTTTTTAATTATACTATGTTTATGTTTATTTTCTTATGAAAGTTGATGATATATCAGATTTCACAACTTCGCCTTTTTTTCAAGAACTTATAATTTATGAAATTTTTTAATTTTCTGTTCTTGAAAAACTATTTTATTTTGGTGGTTTTTATAGTGTAAATTGTTGAAAATACTGTTTGTTTATTATTTATTTTGTGTTATTCTTATTTATCTAATTGTTATTAATAATGGATTATATTTTCTATTGTTACTATCTCCAAATGTTACATTCCAATTTTTGGCTAAATTTTTAATTCCTTCGACATGTAATGTAAAAATTTATTTATTGACTCCCTGAAGAGGAAATCGTATTGCTGTCGAAACCTTTTTTTTTATAAATTATTAATTATTAAATTAATTGTTAAAAAAATTATTTAAAAATAAAGTATGTTAATAATAATAATTATTTTTTTATAATGATTATTATTATTAATATATTTTTATAATTATTATTATTATAAATATATCTTTATAATCATTATTATATTTTTATAATATATTCAAAATTTACTATGTCCAAAAAACATTAAAAATATGAAAGCTTTAATTCCTCTTGATTTTCTTTCTGTTTAATTTTTTATAATAATTTAATTCTTTAAGAACTTAACGGGGTAGTTATATTTAATGAAAAAAACAACTTTTCTATTTAATATTTAGAATTTATAAATAAAAATAATTTTTCTATTTCTCAATTTAAAAAATTAGATAATTTCAAGTTTGTCAGAATGAGTTAGTCTAAACCTTTTTTGTAATTTTGTACTTGGAAAGTAGAGACGTTCTACTGTAAATATAAGATGGACAAACATTTTTTTCTGCTCAATATCCTACACTTTAAAAAATTGGTATTTTTAAAATTATAGAGCGATTCTGCCTTTTTATGACATTGCCTGCGCCTCTTCAAAAAAAGGCATTTCATGCAATTCACTAAATCTTTTCAAAGACACTGCAACATGGTAATATTCCGGACATGTGTTCTTTTTCGTTTTTTTCTCTTTTACTATTTTTTGGGCCCTTTTCGAAGAAAAATGTAGTTCTCCCTTCCTTAATTTATTTTCCATTTTCTCATCGTCAAGTTATTTCCAAGTATTTCTTTAAATTCTATAAATAATAGTTTTGAATGTTTTATTTAAGACATGACAATAACAGATTGTTATAATTTAATTATATTTATTACATCAATATTATTTGTTTTCAGGTAACAAGAATATGAGATGGAAAGTTAGGAAATGGAATCTCAATTAATTTAAAATTGTATCTAAATTATATATTCATAATGGAAATCTCATTAAATTTATTAAACGAAACTGGAATAGTATGTGAAGATCGATTAATATTAACTGAAAAGAATTCGGTAAATATATAATTTTATAAATTTTAAACTAGTCTTTATTTCTTACTAATTTTTCGATTTTATTTTGAAGTATACCATTGGACGTAAATCGGACAATGTATTTAAAATAAAGTGTAAAACTATCGCTAAACATCACTGTATTATTCATCACAATGAAAATGGATTGTCCATTGAAACTTTAACAGTAAGTTTTTTAATTTTTGTCCCTTTTGGAATGAAAGGCATTTTTGAAAAAAATTTATTAAACCTTATTTTTTTATTTTAGTTGAAAAAACCTTTATTTGTTAATGACAAACAACTGCACGTGGGTGAAATCGAATATTTAAATAATGGCGACATAGTGAAAATTGGCAAAGATAATAAATTCATACTTTTGTTTAAGGTAATTGAGTCTAAATATTTAAATAATTGTTTTGTTAATTATGTTTATTTGTTTATTATTTATTAAAATAAAGAATCACATTTTTGAAATTTGAATAAATATAAATAATTGAATTCGTTAAATTAAATTATAAATAAATCTAGGAAATTGGGCCATTAGAATCTGAAATCGTTACGAATTATGAAGAACTACAAGATGACATTTGTATTAAATCGGAACCAATTACATTTGAAAATCGAATGGAAAACTGTGAAGAAGCGTCGAAAATTTTAAATTCCACAAATAGTGGGACTAATCAAATAACGAGTAAGTTATTTTTAGTATTTTTTTTTAAATATAAGAGTTCCTTTGTGTATCAAGTACTAGTTGAGAAAAATACCCTACAATTGATAACTTTGGCCCTTGATTCAATTTTTTCTTCCAGTTATTTAAATTACTTTTCCATAATTTTCTTTTTTTTGGAAATTAATTATTGCAGACATGACGCCAGTAAATTCCGAACATTATCCAAGTTTCCAACAAACACAAGTTCCTTTCGCTTCTGAAAATTCTGCTCTCACTGATCCGTTGCAAATTTCAATAGACGAACACAAAATTATACCAACACCTCCTTCATTTAGAGCTGTAACGAATTCCTCCGCACTAATGGTATCATCATTTCTACCAATGCCAGACGGCAATTTTGATCCACAGGAACATTTGATTCCCAATTCATCTCTCAATCAAAATTCGATGGGAATAAAGGTCGAAAATCCCGATATTCCCCCGACGAATGTAACACTTTTTGCCAAAGATCCCGTAGTTGTAAATCAACCCCGAAATGTCGATGATCAATACAGAGATTTGACAAATGCTTTAGAACAAAGAATAGTAAATATTCTCGATTCTCTACTTGAATCGAATCGAATTCAACCCGAAAGGATAAAGGTGGAAAATCCCGATATTCCAGCAACGAATTTAACCCTTTTTGCGACGAATAATCAATCTCAATCAGGGATAGTACCGGAGGGGATAAAAGTCGAAAATCCGGATATTCCCAGAACGAACGTAACCCTTTTTGCAAAAGAAACACCTGGAAACGAAAATCAAATCTTGGGGGAAGAAATAATAAAAGTCGAGAATCCGGACATTCCACCTACGAATTTGACCCTTTTTGCTAGAAATCCATCAGAGGGATTAGAATCTGGGGGGATTTTGGCAGAAAGAATAAAGGAAGAGCCACCTGAATTTCAAAGTCCTTTGATTACCAACGTCACCTCCGTTCATCCTTCCTTTGAATCGGATTCAGATCAAGTTCCCGAAATACCGAATGAGACCCATTTGCCAAAAGATCCGAATCAAAATCTCCTCACTGAGAATTTGAATCTCAGTGCCCCATCGAGATGTGAAATCCCATTTTTCGAAGATCAAATGGACATTGAAATCGAGGAACATAAACCATTTGTGGAAAATTACCCACTTAATTCGACACCTAATCTTCGTATTCGAAACGATCTTCTTTATGGACCTCAACCAATTGAGGCTGAAAGTGTAAATTATTCACCTCCGGAAATTAGGGTGAAGGAGGAAATCATTGAAACGTCATTTAACATCGAGACTGATGATAGAACCGAAGATAATTTACGAACTAGTTCCACTTTGACTGAGATCTCTTTCAATGCGGTAGTGAAGGAAGAACCGGTTGATCCTCTAAGCGTACCCCCTTCGAATACCGATATCCATCACCCAACCGAAGTTAGCAGAAAGAGACGACGAGACTTAGACGAAGCTTTAGATGATTTTCGAATAAAACGCGAAACTATCGAACAATGTCAAGAGACTGAAGAACGACCGATAAAACGTGAAAGATCCGATTCGAACTGTTTTTCAGAGAATGTTAAACAAGAACCCAATAATTATTCCGTCGATACAATTTGTCCCGAATTTTCCGAAAGGGAACCAAGAGCGGTGAATTTAAATACATCACAAGAATCGGACGATTCAGAGTGCAGTGATTGTTCGACCGATAATTATGAAGATTCGACATCGTTTTCTAGAAATAAATCAACGGATTCACTCGAAATGGCTCTGAGGGAAATTACCGATGGTGTTCAAGTACCTGAAATGTATTCCTTATCGAGTGAAAGTCGGGATACATTGAAAGGAAGAGATAAATCGAAAAGAGAAAGTAAATCTAGAAGGGAAGAAGGTAAATCGAAGAGTTCATCGAAGAATTCATCAAAGAGTTTATCAAAGAGTTCCTCAAAGAGTTCATCGAAGAGTTCCTCTAAGAGTTCATCGAAGAGTTTATCAAAAAGTTCATCAAATAGTTTATCAAAGGGTTCATCACCGAGTTCATCACAGTGTTCATCACAGAGTTCATTGAATAGGGAAAGAAGTACTAACGAAGGACGAAAGGAAAATAGTGAGAAATCTAGAAAAAGGAGAGATGGAATTAATAAAGAGATTAAAGATAAAGGAGGTAGATCCATGAGTGATTCGAAAGATAGGAAGAGAAGTAAGGAATCGAAGGAGGAAAGGTCGAGGGATACAAACAGATCTACTGAAGCAATGAATGTTTCACTAAACGATTCACTTGAGTCTAGAGATTTTGGTGATCGCGTATCGCGAGTCGAATCACCCGAATCTAGAGAAAATTATCCCAATATAATCGACACAAGAGTTCGTCATCGTCGAGTATCGAGAGTTCCACCTAGTGTCGAATTCCCCGAAACTAGAGAAAATTGGAATGACAACACTGAACCAAGAGTTCGCGATCATCGCGTATCGAGAGTTCCAACTGTCGAATCCCCCGAATCTAGAGAAAATTGGGGTGACAACACCGAACCAAGAGTTCGACATCATCGCGTATCGAGAGTTCCAACTGTCGAATCCCCCGAATCTAGAGAAAATTGGGGTGACAACACCGAACCAAGAGTTCGCAATCATCGCGTATCGAGAGTTCCACCAACTGTTGAATTCCCCGAATCTAGAGAAAATTGGGATAGTGATTCAAGAAGCAATCCAGTATCGGGGGATAAACGACGAAATTCCGCCGGAAGAAATTCGATCGACAACGAATTTCCCGAACCCAGTGATTCGAATTTAAAAACCAATCCCGTAGTTCGTAATTACACGGGAGCGAGAGTTTTGGTCGATGACGAACTTCCCGCGACTAGAGAGAGAACTAGAATCATAAAACCTATCGAGAAGAAAAAAATAGGTCTTGAAGAGTACAGAAACAAGAAGAAGGATCTAGAAGCAAGGGGGCCGATAAAGACGAATAGTTCGGGTACAGTTCCTCTCACCACTTTCGGACAATACAAAAATGGAGCAAAAATACCCAGAGGGGGGAATTTTAGAAACGACAATCCGCGAATCGAGACAGTGCCCGGGAGAGCGACTCCAATTTTCAATGAACTTAGAACACAGCCCCAGGGACTACGTCCACAACAAGTCACCGGTTCGAATGCAGATCCTCGATTATCGAGACAGTATGATAATAATCCGGCGAACATTCAGCCTTTAATTCCACCCTTGATATCGGGAACTGCTTCTACGTTAATTCCTGGAACTGCTCCTACACTAATTCCAGGTACTGCTCCCACATTAATTCCTGGTGCTACTTCTACATTATTTCCCGGTTCTCATCCTTCCATGATACCAGATGCTTCTTCCTTGATTCAGGGTCCGATTCCACCTCCAATGTCTGGAACGATTCCGCCAGGAATTCCAGGAGTAGTTCCAGGAATAGGAGTTCCACCTGGAACTCAACTTCCAAATGGCGTTCCGCTACCGTATCAATTCCCCGGTGCAATGAATAATTTCATCTACATGCCCGCCGGCTACTATCCGAATATGTTTCACTTCCCCTACACTGGGGGACAAGCTCTGGATCCTAGAATGAATTCCTCGTTTTCAATGTCCTTCCCAATGAATATGCCAGGAGTTGTTGAGAATAGTACTCCGAATGTGGAAACCCTGCCTCCTAAAGATCCGAGGAGTAGTCTTGTTAGCGAATCCCAGAGTCCATCGACGAGTAGTGTCGAAGTTCCCAGGGATAATCGTAGATTTAATGAAACTGTTGGCGATGAGAGGAAAAATTTAAAAACGGGAACGAAACATTCGGAGATGATTAAAGAGCATCTTCGCAAGAATCGTGAGGAGAATTTGAAGGAGAAGAAACGTGATGGATATGAGAAGGATGTTAGAATTAGAGATAGAGAGCAGAAGCATAAGAGGAATAAGGAAAGGGAAAAAGAAGAAATAGTTGAGGAGATTGTTCCTGTAAAACCAAAGGAAATTAAAATTGAAAAAGTTGTTCCAAAACAATTTGTATCTGAGGATTTGGGGGATGAAGTGTTGATGAAAATTTTCTCTTGGAGTCCAGTAACTTTTGAGGTAAATGGTAACTCAGGGATGAGGAAGCATGATTACATTTACTTAATTTTAATTTGTTGTTTTGTAAATTCTTCTTTTAACTATTTTATTTTCCTGACTTTTTTCTGATTTTCACAAAAAAAATATTTACTTCTTTCTTATCCTGCAAATAAATTGAATTCCTGCAACGAATTTTATTATTCATGAAAGAATTTAAATTTAGTTATTTGTAATTACAAACTTTCGACTAATTTTATGCAAATTCTAATTTAAATAATTGAATTCCAGAGAAATTTTTATTATTTATGAAAAGAATTGAATTCTTACGAAAATGTTTACAAAAATTTTTTTTAAATATAATTGAATTCTGTTTGGAAATTTTATAAAAATAGTAGATATTGAAAAATTATTGAATTGCGAAAAGTTTTTTAAAATAATTAAATTTTACAAAATTTTACAATTTTAAATTAAATTTTTTGAGAATTACACAGCCACACAAAAAAAAATTTGTGTTCTGACCCAGAGGTCTCACTATGTGTACTTTATGTTTTTGGGGTCGCTGAATCCGAATCCGAGGTCCATTTAACCCCACCAGTTCAGGGTTTTGAAATAACCCCAGAAAACCAATATGGCGGACACCTTTTGAAAAAATTCATCGGATTCGCTTGAAACTCGTTACTCGGGGGTTTTAAGGGTCGCCGATTACGAATTTGATGTCAGTTTTCAAAAATTCAAAATGGCGGATCCAATATGTCTGTGTCAGCCATATTGGATCCGCCATTTTGAATTTTGAAAAACCGACATCAGATTCGTAATCAGCGACCCTTAAAACCCCTGAGTAACGATTTTCAAGCGAATCCGATGAATTTTACAAAAAATTGTCCGCTATTTTGAATTTTTGAAAACTGACATCAAATTCGTAATCGGCGACCCTTAAAACCCCCGAGTAACGAGTTTCAAGCGAATCCGATGAATTTTACAAAAAAGTGTCCGCCATATTGGTTTTCTGGGGTTATATCAAAACCCTGAACTGATGGGGTTAAATGGACCTCGGATTCGGATTCAGCGACCCCAAAAACATGAAGTACACATAGTGAGACCTCTGGGTCAGAACACAAATTTTTTTTTGTGTGGCTGTGATTATTGAACTGTCTGTGTGACATTTTAATAAATTTTTTTTTTAATGTAATTGAATTCCTAAAAAGCATTTTATTATTTATGAAAATAATTGAATTCTTGCGAAACGATTTTATTAGAATTTTTTAAAATAATTGAATAATTGAATAATTGAATTCTTGTGATGAATATTGTTATTTATGAAATTAATTGAATTTTGCAAAAAATTTTATTATAATTCCTCAAAATAAATGAATTTTCGGGAATAATTTTGTTATTTATCTTAAATAATTTAATTCTTTCTTATTTTTATTAAAATATTTGAAAATAATTGAATTCCTTTAAAAAATTCTAATATTTTTGTAAATAATTAAATTCTTCTAAAGAATTAAAAAAATCAATATTTTAAATAATTGATTATTTCGAGAAATTGAAATTCAATTTTTAAGAATAATTACATTTTTTGAGCAATTCCTGTAAAATTGTATTAAAAATAATTGAAATCCTGCGATGAATTTTATAATTTATGAAAATAATTGAATTTTTATTAAGAATTTTATCAAAATTTTTTAAATTCATTGAATTCTTATAAAGCATTTTATAAAAATTTTAGAAAATAATTGAATTCTTTCATAGAATTTAATTAAAAATTTTTTAAATAATTGAATTCATTCGAGGCATTTGATTATTGTTGAAAATAATTTAATTGTTGTGGAGAATTTTATTACTTACCAAAATAATAATTAAATTTTTGTGGAAAATTTTATTATGCATCAAAATAATTGAATTATATTTAAATTTTTTGTAATTAATTCAATTCTATCGAGAAGTTTTGTTAAAATTGTATTAAAAATAATTGAAATTCTTCGTTGAGTTTGTTATTTATGAAAATAATTGAATAGTTGCAAAGAATTTTATTAAAAGCTTTCAAAAATAATTAAATTTCTGAGAAGAATTTTATTATTTATGAAAATAATTGAATTATTGCGAAAAATTTTATTAAAATGTCTCAAAATAATTGAATTTTCGGGAATAATTTTGTTATTTTTGAAATAATTGAATTCTTCATAAGAATTTTATAAACATTGTTTTAAAAAATTAATTTTTTTGAAATATAATAAATATTATGAAAATTTTATTTTAAATAATTGAATTCTTGTGGAAAACTTTATTTGTGAAAATAATTGAATTTTTCAATCAATTTCTTTAAAATAGTTGTAAAAATAATTGAAATCCTTCGATGAGTTTTATTATTTATGAAAATAATTGAATTCTTGCTTACAATTTTATTAAAAATTTAAAAAAATTGAATGTTTATGAAAAATGTTATTAATGAAAGTAATTGAATTATTGTGAAAAATTGTATAAAAATTATGTTAAATAATTGATTAACTTCATTTTTTTGAATTTTTTTTGCTATTCTAAATTAATTGAATTCCTGTGGAAAGTTGATTATTTATGAAAATAATTGAATAGTAGTAGGTTTTAGTAAATAAATACGAAGCCTGAATAAAAATTCACTTTCCTGACTATTAAAATTGAAATTAAACTTTTTAAAAAGAAATTTTAATTTCTTAATTTCTAATTTAATAATTTTAATTATAATTTATAATATTTGTATTTATTTTCTCAGAGACATCAAAGAGTTCCAGAACTATGCGTTGTTAGCGAATTATCATACAATTATTCCGACTATGAAGACTACAAGAGTAAAATGTATAAAATGGTTCTTTATGTTCTTCATTTGCAAGTGCAAGAATCATTTGATGTTCTGAGTGTGGAAGTTGGAACGTACGTCAAGAATTTTAAACTCTATTTTCATTTAAAACAAAATTAAAAAATTTTAATTTAACAATTTTTTTTTTAATTTTTTTTAAAATTTTAATTTCATTTAACGCAAATTTTATTTATCATGAAAATTTTACGAATTTTAAAAATAGTTTGTTTTTTCTTGCAGTTTTCCCAAATGCCGTATGCTTGAGGATATTGGTCAAAAAATTCAGATCCAAGACACAAACAATTTCCTAGTGCCTTTATATGTAAAAATTTATGTACCAATTTCACCTGATGTTATTCCCCCGGCTGTTGGTGATTTACTATTAATAGAAATACTCAACGAGGATTCGAGGACGAAAAAAATTTTTGGATATATGGAGAAAATATTTGTCGAAGGTTCATCATCATTATTTATTTATTTATTTATTTACAATGTCAATTGTGCGAAAATTGAATTTTGTTTACTAACCGTAAAAAGGTTTTGGGTCAATTAAATTAATTGACCCCTTTTGACGGTTAAAAATCGAATTTATTCTTTTTTTCTCCTACAGAAATAGATTTCAATTTATGTTACAAATTTGTGACATATTTAGTGTCAGTTAAGGAGCAAAACTTTGACATTCACAAGTGCACAATATCGGAGGTGAAAATTGTTACGAACATAAGATCATTTTTGGAGAAAGCAAGAGCAATTTCACATTTGCAATCGACGCCTCTACTTCCTTTTATAATAAATCCAAGTATGTCATTTAGAAAACGAATACCATTGGTGCAAAATTATTTGAAAAAAGATGAATTAGTTTATCAGAATACACTCGATAGTCAACAATTGATCGCAGTAGGGAAAGTAATGAGATCTTATACGACAAGAAAACCGGAAATTTGCATTGTTGAAGGAACTGCCGGCACTGGAAAAACAGATGTTCTTGTTAATATTATTTTTCAACTTTTCTTCTCGCTAACCACCGACGAAGAGAGGGCAAATTTTCGAATTTTAGTCTGTACATCGTCTGACGCTGAAATTGACGCGATTCTCAATCGTGTTAGTAAAGGAATTGAGGAATTGCAAATAGAGAAGGATGGTGAGAATTTTTTTCTATTTCTCAAAAATAAATTTACTTTTTTCATTTTAAGAAGGCAAAAAAAAAAATTTTAATCTAAAAAAATTGAAAAAAAAATAATTCTAATTTTTGTATTTTATTGACAGTGATAAAAATGGTTGTGATTGGTACTGACGAAGATAGACGGGATCGAACGAAAGAATTGAGTCTCAGTCGATTTGCGAAAAATCATGTCGACTCGGACGTTCATCGTTATCAGGAATCAATGGGTCATAAGCCAATACAGGAGCAGGCTCTCTTTATTGAGGAACAAGTGAAAAATTTAAGGGCAAGATTCGAGGAGAAAAGATGTGTGAATGTCTATTTGCAAATGAGTCTTCTCAATAAGTACTATCACATTGGAAAAAATGGTAGAATGGTGAAAAATATGACTCCCATTGAAAAAAAAGAACTTATCGAAGACGCTGAAATTACATTTTTAGCTGGAGCTAATTTAATTTTTTCAAGTATTCAAAATCTGTCTGGCACAGTGATGGAAAATTTTCAGTAATAACTAAATTTTAAATAATAATATTAAGAATGTTTATTTTAAAATATTAAAAATTATTATTATTATTATTATTAATAATAATAAGAATAATAAAAATAAAATTAATAAAATATTTTTCCTTTTAGGAGAAATTATACAATTCCAGTTTGTATCGTTGACGAAGCGACACAAATTCAAGAATTAGATACATTAAAAGCTGTGGCATTTAAAGCAAATACGTTAGTTTTAATGGGAGATTTGATGAAAGTTCCAATAATGGATGCTAGTTTGGTAAGTTTTTTTTTGACATTAAAACCTTCATATTTAATTTTAGGTTGAATGAAATTTATTTTTCACACATATACATTCTGGAAAAAAATATAAATTTTCGGAAATATGTAATTAAAAATATTGAAAATAGTTGAATTATTAAAAAACAAATTTTGTAATTACAGCAAAGAAGAAAATTGGGATGGGAGAATTCCCTATTTCAGCGGATAGTGAAAAGTTGCGCTCAATATCCAGCAATAACTTTACACACGCAATATAGAATAACAACAGAAATTGAAACATGGTTAAGGCAAGCTAGACTTTTTAATATGAATACATTAGTAAATGCAACACAGGAAAAAGTACTATTTCCATTGCATCCATTATCGATATTTAATTTAATGCACACCGAAGATTTAGCATCTGACGAAGTGACATTCGCTTCCACTTTGATCCAGTGCATTGCATTTCATTCTGATTTGCGAAGATTGAACAGAAAAGTTTCTATTGGAATTATTATTTGTGACGCTACTGCCAAAGAACGTGTTGAAACAGAAATGGATATTTGGTAAGAACAATTTTAAAAATTTAAAAAATTTTTAAGATTCAGATTTAAAAATTTTAAGATTATTAAGATTTTTAAGATTCAGATTTTAAGATTTTGAAAAAATTATCGTCGAAAACTGTTTACTTTTATAAAAATAAAAAATGGGTTTTAATTTTTATTTTTCTCTTCCAGTTTAGAGAAACTTGTTTCCGGCAAAAGACAACTTCTGCACATTGAAGTGGGAACTATTGACAAATTTCAAAATTACGAAATGGACATTGTTCTCGCATCTTGTATTAGAAATAAACATCTTGTTAGAGATGCAGGAATGCAACGATGGTACGCGACTATAACCAGAGCAAAACATTGTCTAATTATTTATGGTCGATATGAAAAAATTAATAAATTTAAGGTAAGTTGATTTTTAAATTTATTTAAACTTAACTATAGTATTTTAACTTTTTCGTAAAATAAAATATTGTTATTTTTTTTATCCTTCAGAGCTCATGTGATTGGCACCGTTTAGTCGAGTATACAAAGAATGTTGCCCAAGTCAGTGTTTTCGCACAGAAAGAACATTTAAAAAGATATCTTATTAGATAAAGAGAAAGTTTAATTTATATTTCATTAATTTCATTAATTGAGCGCAATATTTATATATTATCTCAGGAAAATCGTACTTACCAATCATTATCATCTTCATCATCATCAACTACAACAATAATAATACTTAAGTGTTAATGTTAATAATATACGATTTTTATGTAAATATAGATTTTAAGTATAGAAAGTCTATATATATTTGCCATAAATTGAGATTATTTTTTATAATATTAGCTTTTAATACTTTTATAAAAAAAATAGAAAAACAGAAACTGAAACCAATGTGTGAATAAGTTTTTTTTTTTTTTTGAATAAATACTTTATTAAATTTTCTATTATATGTTATTTATTCGATTTTGTTAAGACTTCTCATAATTTAGAATTAAGAATAAAATATTTATTCAAGTCATAATTTTGTTGTATAAATGTTAAATTTAACATGCATTCTTCAGTATTTCTGTTTATACTCTTTCTGTGATTATTCTCGAGTTTAAGTAAAAATATCTTTTTTTTTCTCTGTAAAATGTACCTAAATTATATTGTTTTTTTTGTATTTAGTGTTTGAAAATCAGAAGAAAATTCAAACATTTTTGAAAATATATTTCTTTAATTTAACATAATTACATTGTAAATTTGTTCATTCCTTTTTTTACGTATACAAAAACATTTAATCGTAAAAAAGAGAAATTTTTTTAAATGGATTATTATAGTTTTTGTACAAGTATAATTCTGTATTTCGTATTTTATGTGTTGAAATTCAATAAATAATATATTCACTCTATGTTTGTTTTTTTTCTAACAAAATTTTCAAATTAATGCGAAATCGAAGAGGAGTATTTAAAAAAAGGAAAAATTAATAATCGATGGTTTTAGAAATAAAAAATTTATTCTATACTCTCTTCAGCGGCATGTTGTCTTGATTGATAACCCGCGAGCCAATCGCGTGACGCCATTTCTATCTGTTTCCATGAATGTGGAATTGGTAAATTATTTAATACGGCAATTTCGTAAATTAATTTTCTAGTTCCCATGTCGTCTAGACCATAATTTGTGTTTGATAAAAATGTCTGTAGATATTTTCTTATTGAAGTTTCTTGCTCTTTGTTAAATACAACATCTTCTGGTAAATGTGGTATTAATTTTGGTTCAACTGCCTCCAATCTGACAATTATTTGTTGCATTGGTTGGTTCTGGTCCATATTTTGAGAATTGTGGTTACTTGACGAATTATCCTCTAAAAACAAATTTTTAAGTTATAAAAAAAAAATGAAAATCAATTATTTTTGTTTATAGAAATTAAGATATTCAAAAATTAGAATTTAATTATTTAACTATAAAAATAAATATTTTATTAAACAATTGAATAACAAATAACTAACTAAACTAATTAATTCGCTAAACTATACCTTAGTATTCTATTATAACCATTATATTCAGAAGTTTGGTTATAAAAGCTTAGAAATATTAACCCTGAGAACTTATATATAAAATAAAAACTGAGAACTTCTGATTGAAGACAGAACATGGACGTAAGAAATATAGGGACCTAGTGGGTACATCAGTTTTAATGCGAAAATTAACGCCCACCCCTTTTAATTACTTAAATCCTTATTTCAACTTGGCCTTATCCACCACTATAACAATCTTATTATCAAACAAGCCTTTTCAGTTTTTTCCTATTCACACAAAAATTCTTCATTACTTCAAAAACTGATTAACTGTTATTATCTTTCATTCACCATTTTACACCATTTCTTCCCCTCTATACATTCTCTACCCTTTCTAACCTATCTTCCATTCCTTCTTTCGATCCATACCTTCTCTCCCAACAACCATCTTATTCTCTACCCTTTCTAACCTCTCTTCCATTCCTTCTTTCGGTCCATGCCTTCTCTCCCAACAACCATCTTATTCTCTACCCTTTCTAACCTCTCTTCCATTCCTTCTTTCGGTCCATGCCTTCTCTCCCAACAACCATCTTATTCTTCTCTCTCTACACGTTCTATCCTCATTTATTCTCTCAACACATCCCTTCAATCTGCAAACATTTGCAGCTTTATATTTTTATCCCAGTATTTTGTACTGCAACCCGGGGTTATACAACAAGACATTTTTTAAATGCTGTCAAAATCACAATTCACAATAAGCAAACCACAATATTCGTTAAAACTTCTCACTTCAATTTCACTGCAAGAGCGACAAAGATAGAGTCGATTGGCGCATGCGCATCATTTTCGAAAAGTTCATTACCACTCGGTGAACCAAGGAAGAAATCTGGCATCGCATTTAAAGTTAAATATCAACTTACCAACTACTTCTTGATTTCTAACAATTTTCCCGTTCCCATCCTCCAACATGTTCAAACTTCTTTTATTCTTATCAATAATAGGCGAAAGAGATCTTTTCGAACTGTTTTTATTATTTTCCTTATCAGGAACAATTTTCGCTAAACAAACACTAAGTATTTGATGAGAAAATTTATTTTCCACAGCTTTAATTTGATTTTGTTCGTCGTTTTCCAATTTAATTTCATAGAATTGCTGAAAAATGGTGTAACACGAATTAAAGGTATTGCATTTCGGTACTTCAACGAAAGTGAGAAAATATAAATTGATAAAGAGATAAAAAACGATATAAAGGACTTTAAAAGTTACATACAGATGGAATAGCATCCTTTTTCAATCTAACCAAAAACGGTTTGGTTCTATCGAAGTCACAATCAGAAAAATGTGCTGAACAAACTTGCTGTCCGTCTGTGATAATTTCATTGGTTAAATTTAGGGCATTTGCCCATTTTCCCCGTATTATTGGATCTTTTGGAAAACTGAAATTTTATTATACTTTTAATAACCACGCGAGCAAAGAAAGATGAGATAAACTATTTATGTTTCTTACCGATGATAAGACAATCCTGGCACATCGTTCGGTCCTTTTTTTATTGTCACACAATTTGCGCAGGTTTTTACAACGCATTTTCCGGGCTTGCCCATATTCTAAAATTATGATAGTACTTTAATAACGAAAAAGATTTTTTATCTTTGACGATAATTCTATATTATTGGCATAGGAGAAAAAATCACGCCACGTTAACGACCAATCGACGATTCGCCAACGGGCACATGCGCAAAACACACTTGTATCCTGCGCGCATGTGCTACATCTCTATATTTCTTATGTCCATGGAATAATACTTATTATAAGAAGCAAAAAATCTCAATTCACGTTGAGTTCCCACTTACTCCTACTAGGGTTAAAATATTGTTTATTTATTAAATAATAAAATTATAGAGGTGCCGTAAAAACTTATAATTATCAGTTGTCCAAATTACCACTTGACCGAAAAGCATTTAACCGATTAAACAAATTTCAGAAATTTTGTTTAATAAACTAAAACATCAAAATTTTGATTTAATAATATTTTTAACTAGTAAAATATTTGAAATTCTTAACTTGTCATGAGTACAATTTTTGTTTTTAATAATTTTTTTATGAAATAATATTTATTTAGTATAATTTTAGATACACTTACTATTTATTTTAATTAGAATAAAATTAATATATATATATTTTTTCTATAATATAATTTTCTCTAATTTTTGATAATTTTAAATGCCGGATGACAAAAAGATTTTAAATAGTCAAATTAGCGTATGTATAAATTTTATACATCTTAATTTTTAAGTCAAGCAATATATTATAAAAGCAAGTTAATAATAAATATAAATACTTTCGAATCTCATAGTGAAAAGGTGTAATGTTTTTTATATAAAATTATCATTTGTCATAATTTTCATGTAACCTAATAATAACTCAACAGAAATACATTGTCTATTAATTAAAAAGTGAAGTAAATTTTTTAAAAACATAAATAACTTCACCCTTGTTTTTGTTTGTCTAAAATTACTTTTCAGACAATTTTATTTTAATAGAATTTATAAATGTCATAATTATTACTTATCAAATTTATCATTTGTCCTAAAATTTCCTGGGAGTAGGGGAGTCCATTATTGTCGCGCGACAATTTTTAGGAAATTTTAGGACAAATGGTAAATTTGATAGGATTTTAATCAAAAAATCTTATTCGATTGGAAACAATTTTTAATAGTAATCAATTTTGATAGAATTTTCCATTAAAATATTGGATACAATGGGAAAGAACTTTCGGTTATTTTTCGATAAAGAATTTGTTAGGATTTTAATCAAAAAATCTTATTGGATTAGAAACAATTTTTAATATTTAATTTTGATAGGTTTTTTGAATGGTTTGTTCACAATAAAAATTTCTAATTTATAATATTACGAATTTTTTGTAAAATTTTTCTAAAAAAAAATGTTAGGTTAAAAGTTTAATTTTCCTAAGAAACTTGTTATTTTTAGTGTTAATAATTATAATTATACTTACATCCGTGATTATTAGGTTGCAAAATTTTTGTTTATTAACTCTACTAGATACCGGCAAAAATGTTCAAAAAGTTTCATAGTTGAGTCGAAAAACCAAAACAAAGCAGACGATAAAATTACTCAGGGATGGCTTTGGATCTACGTCTAGACGAAAAAGCGTAACAAACGGTAATGTACGATAATAAGAGAGAGAAAGACATATACTTCTATCCTTGTTACACTCATTGCTCAACGCAATGTAAAGGATGTAAAAAAAGCCTTAAATTTTCCAACTACGAAACTTACCCATCCCTGTGTAAATTCAAGAAATTTCTACCTTACCAACAGTAAATTATCTTTATCATCAAAGAACAACATTGTAGTTCGTGACTGGCCACTAGAGCTCTTTTACGATTGCGTTTCTTTTCTTTTCACGCCTTGTAAGAAGTCCGGTGAGTTTATTTTATCAAATATCTAAAATAATTTTCTCGAAATTAAGCAAAAATCCTCAAAGAAAATCGAAAAATATGGATTATTTCTGAAAGCTTAATTTGTGCTCTGTGATATTTTTCATAGTTTACAACAAGATGATGTGACTTTTCTTTTGATTTTGTTGGATTTAAAAATTGTAACTACAAAGTCGCGTTTAGTTGAGAGAAATGTGATTTGTGATTGTAAACAGTATTTGTTGAATTTAATTGTGTTTTTTTAATACTCGTTGTCATTCTTTTCTCGAATCATTTTTTTATTGTTGTTTTTTGAAAACAAAAATTATATTGTTTACCTGTTTACAGTAAAAATACTGTCTCTCAAAACAACCATAACCTTAAAATGTGACACTTGCACCTTATTCGATTTTCATTTTTTGATTTTTGTTTTAGGATTCTAATTTTTCTAAAATTATAATTTAAATATTCGTCTGTTTTTTTAAAATCTATTTTAATTTATGTAAACTTAACTTTTTTATTTTATCTTCTACAAAATTTCTCATATCTTCGAACTTTTTTGGTTTAGAAATTAGAAATTCTTCGCGAAAGAAAGAAATTCATGGAAATTAATTTTTATTCTGACAAAAATTTTTTTATTGTATTTTAAAAAAGTGTTTATTGAAACTTATCATTTTATTTATAAACTATTGTTTTTTATAATTAAAAAATCAATTCTTAATTAAACGTTCATTTAAAATAATTTTTTATTTTGTTTTAGTTATTGTTATAAAATAATCCGAGTACAAAAAATATTTCGTTTATTTAAACTTTTAATACTTTAGAAAAATTAAAACATTATTTTTTAGTTATAACTTTAAAAAAAGAATTTATTTTAAAAATTTATTTAAAAGTTAAATTAATTTAATTCATATTAATTAAATTAATTTAATTTCAAAAAATTACTCTTTTTAAATACAATTTTTAACTTTTAATTATTATTATTTAAAAGTTAAATTAATTAATATTAATAAATGTTAAAAATTGAATTTAAAAAAAAGTAATTTTTTGAAATTAACTTAAAATATAATTAGTTTTCTAAAAATTAATCTTTTTTTTAAATCTAATTTTTAACTTTTAATTATTATTATTTAAAAATTAAATTAATTAAAAGTTAAAAATTGGATTTAAAAAAGGATTAATTTTTAGAAAAGTAAATTTTATTAGCATAAAATTTCAATTAAATTTTAAGGTTAAATTAAAAGTAAATTTGCAAGTTTTCGCTTTTTTCTGCCTGTGAAATTGTTATTTATAAATTAAAAATTTTTCAGAAATGGCTGAACAGACAGGAAAGTCGAAAACGAAGCCAGCAAAGGCTGCAACGGAATCAGCTCCGTTAAAAAGAAGGCCCTTCAAAAGGCATGGCCGTTTATACGCAAAAGCAATTTTCACCGGTTACAAAAGAGGATTGAGGAATCAACATGAAAGTACAGCCCTCTTGAAAGTTGAAGGAGCACGAACGATCGTTGATTCCGATTTCTATATTGGAAAACGATGCGTTTATGTCTACAAGGTAAATTTTTTTTCAAACCTCATTATAAAATCGTCAAATTTACAGATTTACACATTAAAAAAATCTACAATTTACTTAAAATAGCAATAAAATTACAAGTTTAATGATTTTAAAATTTTGAAGAATAAATTTTTTTGAAGAATAAATTTTCTTCTACTAAATTAATAATTTTTGTTCATAGGCAAAAAATAAGACCCCAGTTCCCGGAAACAAAACTAAGAAAACAAAGGTTCGTGCTATCTGGGGGAAAGTTACACGTCCTCATGGTAACAGTGGTTCAGTTCGAGCAAAATTCAAGAGAAATTTGCCCGCCAAGGCAATGGGACATCGCATAAGAATTGTAAGATTTTTTTCAAATTATTCTACATTTTATTCATTTAAAAAAAATATTTCTGCAATCTTAAGTTATTTATATGAAATATAAATGAAATTTTTATGAAATTCTACCATTGAATATTAAACATTCAAAATTGCTTATAATCCTTTCTTTTCTTTTACAGATGTTGTTCCCAAGCAAAGTGTAAATTTTGTTAATGTATAAAAAAAAATTAATAAAAAAGCCTTTTGGTATAAAAAAAAAACTTTCTTGGATTTAATTCTTAAAAGATGTTACCTAAGACTTTTAATTTCCAAGGTATAAATAAATAAATAAAGGCATAATAATATCTTACCAAAAAATTAATAAAAAAAAACATTCATCAGTAAGTAAAAGTTCAAACGTCAGAGAAAACGCAGAAGTTTGGAGTCATAACTTTTATTAAAAGTACTGGAAAGAATTAAATTTTTAGATTTTATAAAAAAAATTCTGAATTTTGAAATCCTTCAATTTTTTCTATTTTTAACAATAATTTCTTTTTAAATAACTTGATTCTTGAAGAACTATCATAAAATTATTACTTATATAAATTATGTAATGAATAATTTTACTGAAAAAATTCAAAATTAATTAAATTTCAAAAGAGTTGCGTTTACAATTTTCATAAATAGATGAACTTCAAAGGTTTCAATTTAAAATTTTAGAAAATTTCAATTTTTAATGAATTTAAATATAGAAATTTTAGGAACAACTGATTACAGAAATTCAATTATTTTCAAAAGTGATAAACTTCTTCGCATAAATTCAATTATGTTCAAAAATTAAAAAAAAAATCTCTTCAAAATTTCAATTATCTTTATAAATAATAAAATTCTTCTCCGAAATTCAATTATTTTCAAAAAAAAATTTAATAAAATTCTTGGCAAAATTTCAATTATTTTTAATATCTACTATTTTAATAGAATTTTCCAAAAGAATTCAATTACATATTTAAACAAAATTTTAATAAAAATTTCACAGGAATTCAATTACTTAACAATTTTTTATAAATTTCTTTCCACCAATTCAATTATTATTTTTAATTTTTTAATGAAGTTTCTCGATAGAATTCAAATTAATTATTTTTAGAAATAATATTTTTTTCTGGAATTCAATTATTTTCACAAATAAAAATCTTCACAGGAATTCAATTCTTTAAAATAATTTTTAATAAAATTCGTTTCAAGAATTCAATTATTTTCATAAATAACGAAACTTAACGCAAAATTTCAATTATTTTTTACACAATTTTAAATAAAGTGATAAAAAATTGCATTTTTTTTGAAAAATTCGCCGAAAGAATTCAATTATTTTTAAAAATTTTGATAAAATTCTTCATAAAAATTCAAGTTTAAGAAATATTCGATTATTGAATAAATTATTTATTTTTGTATTTAAATAATTGAATTCTCGTTGAGTTTTTTAATAAAAATTTATTTAAAAATGAATTTCAGTTAAAATTTCAGATAATTGAATATTAAATGCATTAGAGCGTAAATTTTTAGAAACAATTAATTTAATTTTGGAAGGGGGTTCAAATTAAAATCTTTGAAAATTTAAATTTATAACAATATTCTTATGAAGAATCTTAATTCCTATAGAAAAATAAAAATGATTAAATATTTGTGAATATTATGAAAGATTTTATTGGAAAGTATACTGTATCGTAATAATTTAATTTTAGAAGGGTTATAACAGGTTATAAATATTATTTCAAAAAGTTTGACGAAATAAAAATTTTTTCTCTATTTAAATGTTCCCACCGAACTATTTGCCTATGATCGGAAATTGCCATTGATTGGTAGATTGTATGCTTCATTAACAAATCAAATTTTACTATTTTTCAAATTAAAAAATACAATTATTAAAAAAGAGGAGATAAACTTTAACTTTTTACCACTCAATTTAAAAATCGTTCAGTTTATTTAAAAATAACGTGCAAAGTCTTGAGTTTTCTCAATAAAATTTTACTTTTACTTTTTAAAATGTACCTACCTACCTAACCTTACCTTTATTTGGAGGAGTTAACCTAAAACTTGTGGCGTTTTGTTATTAAAAACCATATTAAAGTATAATTAGAAGGATTACAGTTTTGAAAAATGATTGAAAGTATATTTCAACTTTAATTCTAAATCTTTACCAGGTATGATATGAATGTAAATTTTTAATAATTATTGATTAAACAAAACTTGTGACGTCTACATTTTTTTTCATATACATGTACAGTAAACACATTCCGTATTTTTATTTATTTTCATCTAAAACAAAACACTTCTAGCACTTCTAGCTTCTTTGCTTATATTTTATTTTTAAAAGATATTTTACCATTTTTTATTTCTTTGTATTTTTCACTTATTCCCGATCTAGTAAGACGTAAATGTATACAAATGTATACATTTTCGCAATTTTCAAAATTATTAAATTATAAATTTTTCTCTACAGTAAAGTTGTAACAATTAACTTTTATAATTTTTTAAAAAGTTTATTTAACTTTTTAGTTTGTATTTTAGTTTTTAGTCTTTTGTAGAAAAGAGACGAATTTTTGGTTACGTATTATTTTTAGAGAAAAAATCAATATACAAAGAATTAAATGTATTAAAGATTGACACAAATAATACAATGATAAAAGTATTATTCTAAAATGATAGTCATTATCGTTCTAGTTACTTTGCATATAGGATAATTGACCCCAGTGAAAGATAGATTAAAAATATTCATTGTAATTTTTTTTTTTGCTACTTCGCACTAGTCATTTTTTGTTTCGGGCTTTTTAAAAATGAAAGACTAAATTTTTTAAAATTACTATTAGATGCTGAAGATAATTACCAAAAAAACTTTAAGCAAATTTTAAAATTTTTTCAAGCAGGATATTCATATAAAGGCAGATAAGGATGTATTTTCACAACTGAAGATATATGTTCGAAAATGTTTTGCTGCTTGAGAAATTGCTTCGATAGTTTTGGCCTCACTGCAGGTCAAATTTCTAAAGAAGAAAGAAACCTTATCGCTCTCGATACAACACATATGGGTATTTTATTTTTTTTAAATCTAAACTACACTTGGAGATTTGTTGTAATATGAAGATTACAAGAAGAAGATTTGAAGATTTTTGTCACTTTTTTAAAAATATTGTTTTTTTTACTTTATATAGGCCATGAGGTCGTGATTGTAAAAAATGGACTAAGAGTTTGCGGTAGAGGTGGAGCTTTAACAAATGCACCATTAGTACAAAGCAAAAGTTACTTTGAAGTCAAAGTTCAACAGGGAGGCATTTGGGCCGTTGGGCTAGCAACAAGATCTGCAGATCTTAACACTGCTTGTGGTGGACTAGACACGGAAAGTTGGGCTCTAAACTCGGATGGATTTATCAGGCACAATCAACAAGAGTTACATAAAATTCAAAATCTTGCTCAGGAAGGCGACATTATTGTAAGATAATATGTATTCATAATCCTTAATTTAAGAATCTCCTATTAATCATACTTTTTAATTACTCTAATTTATCCTTCTGTGTAGATTTCCTATTCTTTCTGGATTTTACTCAAAAGATTTAATATTTAAAATGACATTAAGTTATTTAATTAACCCAATTATTATAACTTTAATATATATCTCAATTTCACTTACTATAATTTATTCTTTTCGATTAATTAATTATTGCAAATTTGAATTTCAAAGAAGAATATTGATTAATAATTATAATTAAGAATTATTCTACTTCAACTATTAGCAAATTTAAATTTTAATAGCTGATGAGCAAAATGTTAATTATTTATGATTTGCTTACATGTGAATTTTAAACATACTTTTTATTCCTTTTTTTAATGAAATTTGCTTTTGATAATAAATCCGATAATCACATAAAATCTTTCATGCTTTCTGAAATAGAAAAAGAAATTTGCTTTCGATAATAAATCCGATAATCACATAAAATCTTTCATGCTTTCTGAAATACAAATAGAAATTTGCTTTTGATAATAAATCCGATAATCACATAAAATCTTTCATGCTTTCTGAAATACAAAATTTTAAGAGCTGAAGAGCAAAATGTTAATTATTTACGATTTGTTTGCATATGAATTCTTAACGTACTTACTTTTTATTCCTTTTTTTATATGAAATTTGCTTTTGATAATAAATCCGATAATCACATAAAATTTTTCATGATTTCTGAATTCCAAACAGAAATTTGCTTTCGATAATAAATCCGATAATCACATAAAATCTTTCATGCTTTCTGAAATACAGAAAGAAATTTGCTTCCGATAATAAATCCGATAATGACATAAAATCTTTCATGCTTTCTGAAATACAAATTAAGAAATTTTTGTACTTTGAAAAATGTATGATTACAGGGCGTTGCTTACGATCATATTGAATTAAACTTTTACCTGAATGGTAAAACCTTAGAGGCACCAATTATGGGAGTAAAGGGCACAATGTTTCCAGTACTTTATGGTAAGTTACTTAAAAATACAACTCAAATGAATTTTTTTTGCAATCAATTGCAAAATTTAAATTCAAATATAATTAAAAAAATATTTCAATTTTCTTCCAATTTTAGTTGATGATGGAGCAATTTTGGATTTAATCCTCGACGACTTTATTCACGCCCCTCCAGTTGGTTTTGACAAAATAATGCTGGAACAATCTTTACTCTAGCAGATTATTTTCTAATACTTATCTTCCAAACCAACAACTATTTTTAAATATTGAATATTTCTGTGAATTTTTGTGCGAATTGCGTGTTTCCTGTAAAATGAAAAAAAAGTTAATGTAAAGGTGTGTCTGAGTAGTAATGTTCGTGTAAAGTAAATTATATATAATCAATTACTTTTAATTATTATGAGTTAACTAATTTTTCGACATCCATAATTGTAAATAAACAGAGAAGTATAAAATTCCTAAAAGAAACGTTAACATTTTTAGTTACTGCATTATTTACAATATTAATTTTTAATTAAAAAAGGGATGAATCAAAAATGTACTACAATTTTTAATTTCTTCATTTCGTGTTTACAAATTAAATTTTTAGGTTCAAATTGTACTAAACTAATTGGAATATTAAATTAACCAGTGAATTTTTAATTAAATTTAAATTTAATTAATAGATCAGTTTAAAAATTATTGACGATGAAACAAAGTGTTTTACGTATAGTATATATATGTAAACATATTACTGTGTATGCTGACATGTATTTTCAATTAAAGAAATAATTTTTATTTTATACTCTTTACTTTAATTAAAATATAACAGTTTTACTGTTTTTTTTGAATTCGTCATTAGTGACTTTATTTTCCATAGTAAAGTATATGGGGCACGTGACTACTGAATAACATAACATTAAAATATTTCCTTTCTTTGCCTTTAAAAATTTGTGCTTTTTTATAGTTTTTAAACAATTTTTAATTTTATTTTCTATAAAATTGTTGAGAATCTATAAACACAAATTTTTATAGATAAAAAATAAAAAAGATATTTCAAAAACACTTTTTCCCGATTTTCCCCTTTTTTTCATTAAAACCAGCCAATATCGTAGGTTTTAATTTGCAAAAAAATTTATTTTGGGTGGTTTGTATTTATTTAATTGTCATTAATAATAGAATTTTCTCATAGAATTTTATTATTTAGGAAAACAATTGAATTTTCGTAAAAAATTTTGTTAACCTTTAAAGTGCTAAGTGTTGAAAAATCACGCTCAGTGCTAACCCCGGTCTGTCAGACCGCTATTCCCTTTTGACAGTTTTTTAGTCATTTATAATTTTTAAAAGACAACTATTATAAATATTTTTTACTTTCTAACAAAAAAAGTCATTTCTGTATTATGCATTTATTTATTTTATTTATTTTATAAATGCAGTCTATGAGAACTGTCAGTAGAACTAGCTGCGCGTCAAGTTGCGCAGACGTCACTCATGGGAATATACTGGAATATACTTTCACTTAAAGCTAACCCCGGTCTCACAGACCGCTATACTTCAAATATTTATTTATATTACAAAATTTAACGAATAAAAATTTTTGAAAAAGTTGTCTCCTAACAGATTTTCATAAAATATGAAGCTACTAAAAAGTTCAAGTTCTTATTATACTTTGAAAAAAAGTTACAAGCAAAGAAAATTTTAATAGCGGTCTGTCAGACCGGCATAGCACTTTAAAGGTTAAGAAAAAAGTTGGAATTTTTTTTAAATTAATTGAATTTTTAAAAAGAATTTTACTACTTATAATAATCTAATTGAATTGTTTCGAAGGATTTATTAAAATTTTAAATATAATTGAATTTTCTCGAAAAATTTATTAAAATTTTAGAAAATAATTAAATTCTATTCAAATTTGCCATAACGAATTGAAAATAATTGAATTCTATTCAAATTTGTTATAACGAATTGAAAATAATTGAATTTTTTCGAAAAATTCATTAAAATTCTAAATAAAATTTACTTCTTTCCTGAAATTGTTTTGAATATAATTGAATTTTTACAAATTTTACTATTTATAAATATAATTGAATTGTTTCGAAGGATTTATTAAAACTTTAGAAAATATTTGAATTTTTTCGAAAAATATTACTAAAAATTATTAAAAAATTGAATTCTTTCATGAAATGTTGTTAAAATTTTATTAAAAGTAATTGAATTTTTCCAAAGATTTACTATTTAAAAAAATAATTGAATTGTTTCAAAGGATAAATTAAAATTTTTAGAAAATAATTGTATTCGTTCGTTGAAATTCTAAAATTGAGGTTATTAAAATTTTGTTTAAAAATAATTGAATTTTTGTAAAAAGATTTAACTATTTATAAAAATAATTGAATTCTTACGAAGTATTTTATTATTTATGACGAAATAATTGAATTTTTGCGAAGAATTTTATATAAATTTTTTGAAATTTGTAAACAAGAATAATTAATTAGTAAATTATTTAATAAATTTAATTTTATCCTTTGAATTTGACGGAATATTAAAAAATCGTGTCATTTCTGTCAAAATGTTTTTAGTTCATGACATGCGAATAAACTTAAGTCACGAACTATGAATATTTGATAGAAATGACACGACTTTTCAAAAATTCCCTGAAACCGGAAGGAAGCATAAATGTGTGTAATTTGTAAGAATGAGAAGAATATACATAAGTCTGTCTCACTCTCTTTTATTTTAAAAAATTTCCCATAATTATACAATTAAAGGAACCATTGTGCTTGTGATTTATTAAAAACAACTTAAATTTGAAGCAAAAAGAAAAATTCTCTTTGAAAAAAACAAAAAGTTACAGTAATTTATACGAATTTAAACTTTCCAGAATTTAAGAACACTAGTTTCCCAACTCTGGATTCTCGTCTGCCGGCAATTGACCGTCAGACAAGTGTCGCCCCTCGTGGCGACTAAAGTGAAACTCAACTCGTTTCTTGTCGTTCGCAGTCGTTCGTTCGGAAAGATGGCGGCCAGCGACGACGAGCCGATGCATCTCTATGAAGTTTTTCAAAACTGTTTCAATAAAATCGCCAACAAACAACCCGGTGAGTTTTCACAATCAACAATTGACAACCTCGACTTCGAAATAAATCGCGTGTGCTCCTTCAAAATTGTACGCAAATGTGAAAAAATCATGGATTTATCTCATCAGTTTTCTCACAGTGTTTCGGATTCATCACATCTCAGTTTCTTGTCTACTTGTTAAATTATTGCAATTTTTATCGTTTAACATAAAATTCACATTCGCATAATAAATGAATGTGATTCTTAATTTTCATTTAATTCCCATCATGTTGATGTCAAAAAATAGTGAATTTTAGAATTGCTATTTTTTTGCAGTCGATTCAATCTGTGTTTTGGTCTGCTCGTTAAATGCCATGAATTGGATGGTGCTGCCTCTCCCGATTCCCTGCCAAAATTTCCACCAAATTTTCCCTTTTTTTTCAGTGACAATTTCCTAATTCGCGAGGGGAAAAAAAATTGGTTTTATTCACAAATCATACTTTTAACCTTTACTTGACAGATGGAAAAAAAGACAAATGTGAAATTCTTTTTTGTGTTAAATGTCTGTTTTGAAGTGTTGTGCAAAATTCGATTTTTATTGACAGAAAGTGTTTCGAAGTCGAGGGATTTTTTTATTAGAAATAAGTTTTTATATGTATACTTAGAGAAAAATATTAATAACTGTTGGAACTATTTTTAATCCAGTGTCTATATTTTTAGTGTTATTTCACAACAGTGAAATAATACACAAAAAAATGTAATTTTTTTTCATTTCTCACTTTTTAAAGCAGAATTCTGATTTTGTTATTGTTGTCATTTTTTCTATTTTCGTTAAATTCGTGTATATATATATAAATTGCGAAATAAGTTTCAAACTTTATTTTTTAAATCCGTAGAAATAATTAAAATTCTTAAAAAAAGAGTAATTTTTTAGAAGTAAATTGAAAAAATATGTACGAGAAGCAGAACATAACCTAAAATTTCAGAAAGCAAAAAAGCAAATAATCATTTTGATTCATTGATGGTAATATATATTCTTTATATATTTATTTTTATTATTATCTAGATTTGTATAATTTTATTTATTATTTTCTTTATTTATTTTATATAATAAATAATTAAAAATTAATTATTTATTAAAAAGTATGTAATAATATTACGAACGAATTAATATTTTTAATATATATTAAGATCTTATTCGGTTTGATAAAAATCCATATATTTTATTTTTATAATTATTTATTAGCTTTTGCCCGTCGACGACAGGCATCTTCAGATAAATTTAAACTGAAATTACATTGCATACAAATATTATTGAAGGAATTGTATCGATTATCGAAGAGTATTGAGAAGAACATAACCTATAACTTATCAAGAAGGTTTTTTCAAAGAGAATCATTAAAATTTATAAATTAAAATTTCCTTTCTTAAATTGTCAAAAACAAAATTCATATTTAATATTTTTATTATTTATTAATATTAATTAATAATTATAATTTAAAAAAATTTTTTTTTCTGTATTTCATTAATTATACCTATTAATAATTATTAATCATTTATTCATTATAAAATATAAAATAATATTAAAAATGAATTAATATTTTATTTTTTAAGTAAATTTAAAATTAATCTGAGTTAAGATTATTTGAAAATTTATTTTTGAATAATTTTTCTAATTAAATTTTTGAAATATATAAACAAATTAAAAAGATTTTGAATAATTAAAATTTTGTACAATTTAATTGAAAATAACTAATTTTTTTAAAGTACTTTATTGCAATTTATTAAAATTAATTTTTAAAGAATTTTAATTAAACTTTTGTAAATAATTGAATTCTGAAAAATTTTAATGAATAATCTTCAAGTGTAAATTCAATAAAAATGTAAATTCATGAAAATTAGTTTATAAAAATAATATTAAAATAGTTTTGAAAAAAGAAATTCTCTGAATTATTTTGTTCTAATTTTTAAAAACTCGATAAATTATTTTCAATATTTTCGATGTTCAATATTTTCAATATTTCTAAAAATTCAAATACATAGGTACATAGGTTTAATTATTTAAAATTAATTATTTAAAATAATTAACATTTTTTAGAATTCTTTTTAACATTTTTGGAGAAAATAATCATATTCAAAATGTTTAATTAAAATTCTTCAAAAAATTAATATTTTTTTAAAATTATTCAAAAATTCTTCAATTATTTTCGTAAAATTACATTACAATATTTATAAAAAACTAATTCTTAGAATTGTTTTTAAGATTTTAAGATTCAATTACCTTCGAACAAAGTAAATTAAAATTTTTAATACTTTCTTAGAGTTTCTGAGAAATTATTTATAATTAAAATTCTTGGAAAAATTAAATTATTTTTTTTTATAGTTTGAAAAAACTCAATTATTTTAAAAAGATTTTATCAAATTTTGAATTATTTTTCAAAGATTTTACTATACTTACATTTAAATTATTTTTTAAAAGATTTTACCAAATTTGAATTTTTCGAACAGTTTTTAATCGTAATAATTGTAAAACTCTTTCAAAAATTTAGAAATATTTTTAAGAAGTTAATTTTACGAATTTCTTTATTAAAATTTTTGAAAATATTTAAATATTATTCTACCTTAATGTCTTTAAAAAGAAAAATGTACGGTTTCAATTATTATAAAAAAAATTGAATTTTCGTATTTAAATAATTGAATTCTCGAAAAACTTTCTGAAAACTATTAAAAATTAATATTGATAATTGATTTAGAGATGAAGTTAAGCTAAAAATTATAGAAAATAATTGAATTTATGGAAGTGTTCTGTTTTTAATTTTTAAAAATTATTAAATTTCAGAAGTTGAAATCTTTTAAATTTTAATTCCCGTGAAAAAAGAAATAGGAAGTATTTAAATATTTATTTAGTAAAATTATACAAGTTTTGATTAATTGAATTTAGAAATCAGTGAAGAAATTTTTTAAAATTATACTGAAAAAAATATTTATTTGATTCAAATAACCGATTAATTGGCTATTATTATCAATTAAATATTTAATTGAATCAAATAATATTTATTGGAGTAAAATTAAATGGCATTTGCTTCAAATACTGAAATTATTGGTTCAAATACCATTTAATTGACTCCAATAAATATTATTTGATTCAAGTAAATATTTAATTGATAATAGTTAATTAATCGGTTATTTTAATTAAATAAATTTTTTTTTCAGTGTATTTGATAAATAATATTGATTATTTCAAAAATTTGAACTCTTTTGAAGAATTTTATTAAAATTTTAGTATGGTCTTATTTTAATTCATAAAAATTAAACTAACTCGTGTTCCGACTCTTTGGCAGAGTCTTCCTTAAAAAAATAATTGAACAAATTTTTAAAAATTTAAATATTATCTTCAATGGACTTTGGGTACAACTTTTAGCATATATAGGTTATATTATATATATGAATTACGAAAATATAATATTATAGAGTTTATTTTTAGTTGTCGCGGAATTCCATTTTTGTTTATACAGTTGTTCTTAAAGTATTCTTAATACTATTCCTAAATATTCTATATACATATACATGCTATGTATGTATGTCTTATTAAATATTAGATTTATAATTTTGTAACACTTTAGAGAACGAAAAATTGAATTTTTAAAAATTTTTTGACAATGTAATTTTTTTAAAAAAAGGTTGGATTTTTGACATATTTTTTTTTTTTTTGAAAATTACCAATTATTGTTTTTAGATATATCTACAGTTATACCATATACATTAGGATCATATATATGTAGTGAAATATCATTTAGTCACGATAACTTTCGTGTTAACATGAAATGAAATATATTCTATAAAAAGTGTACAAAATATGCTATATATGTATTCTTTGATAATATATTAGAGAAAAAAACTTTGTAAATATTTTATTTAGATAGATAAATATTTTCTTAGGGTGTCTGTAAATGACACGAGTCGGAAGGGTTAGAGGGAGGAGATGAATGGGAGGGGTGGGGTGGGGAGATACCCGCCAACTTTGCAAGCACAATTTGTCTCTCTTTTATTAAAGTAAATAATATAAATAGGAAAATTTAATTTCATTGTGGTCATTCGCTTTTAATTATATTTTTATATAGAAAGGTCAGGGAATAATAAGGATCAGATTTATCCATTTTTAACCCTCTCTTTAACATCGTTAAATTAAAAAATTTCTGTTAACTCATAATTTAGTGAATTTAATTGATATTTGAAAATAATTTATTAGTTATTGAGTAAATGCACTTTAAAAATGGGTTGGATTAAAATTTTGTATACAAAATCGACGAAAACTCCAAATGTTCGTTTCTCTTGTGTTACTTCTTCTTCTTCTACTACATATTGTTCTCGTTGTGAATTAATTTCTTTTGCTCTTGTTACTTTACCTCTCTACACCATATTTTCTCTCTTTTGTCATATACTCGCAAAATTGCAGTAGACGCTTCAGCGAACTCATAAATTTCTTCCTTAGATGCTTGGCTGAGCCACTAAAACCAATTATTATTTTCATTACTATGTGAATTGTCGCACTTTATCTGACTTGTTGTCCCATTGTTTCTGCACTTTCATTCGAATCCTTGTTAATAAAGCAATATTATGAATTCTTCTTTACTTATCTTCCTTATTTCATTTTCGCTTTGAATTTCTAGAAAATAATACTGTATTTGTTATTCGATGTACAATGGAAGTTTTGTGTCGAATTGCATAATCTTTATTATCCTCTTATTATGAAAAAAGTAAAAACTTCATTAAGAAGATTCAACATACGGATATATTTCCAAAATGATTATAAAATCCGAAAATATGTTTGTCATTACAGAAAAAAACATTCCGATACAAAAGAAAATATTTCAGTTTATCAGATTAACTGTTTGGACTGCAATAAAATTTTGATATTCCGGAATTGTTCCAGAATTAATTTTCCAAAAAAAAAACATTTGTAACGGTAGTTTTAGTAGAAAATAAAAAAAATTTAGGATAAATGGCATAATTCAAAATTGCGAACCCCGTTAAAAGGGCAGGAGAATTTACTCCCTTGGTTAAGGAGAAAGAGAGTGAACTTATAAGCAAAGAACCTTAAACGAGGTCCAGACACAACACTCGTGACTTCGGGCACTCTTTTTCTCTGTTCCTCTCTCATCGAGGGTGTGTCATCGCGATGCACCTGCCTCTCTCCTTCTCTCTCTCATTCACCACACTCGCTCATGACGAAAACCGAAAACTTTCAATATTCGACATTTAGGATGAAAATTCAAAAACATTGTGAAAAAAGAATCTTTCATTACGTAAAAAATCTTTTCCAAAATTAAATTAATTAAAAAACATCTTTTTCTAAACAAAAATTTAATGACATGCATAGATTAATAGATTAAGAAATTTGCAGATTTTTAGGAAACTTTGAATCAAGAAATGTCTGCTTACGAAAGTGATGGAATTAAGGGCAAATACTTGTCTATTGTTTATGACTATTTAAGAACAATAACGTCAACAAGTGTGGATTTTTGAAAATCAACTTTTGAAGAATTGCTAAGGAAACTAGTATGTGTAGTTTCTTTTTGGAAATATCCAATTTCATTTCTGAAATATCTGGCTTATAGATATGTAAACTCTTCAGTTTACTTTACCCTTGCACTTTAAACAAATTTACCGAAGTATACACAAATTTTTCTGCTCTTGACTATAATGTGTAGTTTCGTTTGGAAAAGTTCAATTGATAGGAAAACAAAATTTTATCAGGGAAAAAATTATTGCAAGAAATGAACCAATTCAGGAAATTTTGCAAATATTCCCTTTCTTCGAGCGGTATAAATAAAAAAACAATAAGCAATTGATAATAGTATTTAACACATCTTTGCCTCTGCGATATTTAAAACACGCTTTGATAAAGGTTCACGTTTGTAACGACATTGAAGTGCACGCCATTTATACTGGTATACGCAAAGGATATTTCCGTCGCACCCTGCGCATAATTTTAAGCCGATTATTTTGCTGCCGTCGAGTACC